ACTCTGGCCTATCACCAACTTCCTTGAATTGAAGGCTTTCAACATCATTTTGAAGGTTCCTTGCACTAGATGGTGAATGGTCTGAACCTACATCTGCTCCTCTTCCTGACCTTGTGTCAAGTAGGCTGACTGCGTCTCCATCTCCACTTTCTTCAGATTGAGATAAAGTCGATCTGATTTTGATTGTGTCCATCTGTGGAGTTCAAATCCATTTCGCTTTGTGGATATCCTTGTGCTTGAACACAGTGCCTCACCTCCAATCACCAAATCGTTGAATGAACAGAATTCTGCAAACAATCCTCCATTCTCGTTTATCACCTCACCGAGCGCTTCTCGACCCATGGTTAGTTCTCTTCCTGTGTTGTCCCCTACCAGTTTAGCATTCATGTCACCCCACCCATTAGAATTTTGATGTCACCAACTGACGTCTTGTCCAGTGTTGATTGCAGTTGTCTGTAGAATTCCTCCTTGTTCTCTTGTTCTGCGTCTGCATTATTTGTAGGTGCATAGCGTAGCACTGTATGATTGTGACTTTCCTTCCTTTGAGTCGAATCTTCCTGTCATGATCCTGTATGAGGAGATTGGTTCCCACTGCACGAGAGCCTTCGATAGCCACTCCATAACTCAGTGTGCTAGTTCGTGTTTGTCGTCCGGGTGACAGAAACGGGGTAGATTATTGACTCTCCAGCTAACAGTTTGGATAGTCCACTTCCATTCCATTTGCTTTCTCAAATTTCTAGCACTTCAATGCGATACCTACTCACCTCGTTTACAATCTGGGCAGTCTTGCTAGGTTCAAACATAGTGCGGACATTCCATGTCCCCACGTTTACTTTTGCCTTCATCGAGGGAGAGATGACACTTGGCCGACTGGTTTTCCGAGGGCAGGCTTTCACCAACTGGCGTCATTTCGTCTCTCCCATTCCGGCGAGAAATAATTTTGTTTTTTATATTTTGTTTGTGCTTTGAAGTTTCTTTAGCGATTGGATTTGTTTTCCGGGGTAGGGTTGCTAGCCCTACGCCCAACCTTCCCTCTTTACGGGGTCTAAGGACCGGCTAGTAACTAGTGAACTAGTTAACCAGGCGAATAGATTAATTGAATGCAATAAAACGTTTTATTCCACCTTGCTGCCTACGTTCTAATCGCACATTAGATTAACCTATTGGCAAAGCTACAAAGTGTCGTTTTCCCCATATAACACGATACAATTTCCAGTGCTGTGCTTCTAATAAGCCAAAATTAGGACTTCAACGTCTCAACTTCCTGAAATTTCTACATCATTTCTAGTTAACAAAAGTTTGAAAACATTATATCCACCTTACTATCAGTTATTTTTGAGGATGGCTTTTAAGTAATTACTTACATTAGGCTGACAAAGGAAAACTAGAGAATACGCTTCACTCCTGCTTACGCTAAATGAATAACTGGTTGAAAAAACAAAATACTTTTTATTGTGATAAGTGAAAAAAAGGACTTTCTTTATTCCATTCACTCAATATCCATTATTTAGACTTCACGTTGACGTGGCTGTCTAAAAATCCAAGCGACACAATCACTAGAAATTTGATTTCTTTTGACCAAGACATCATCATTAGTCTGATCTAAATAATAAACTGCGATCTGATATCCATATGAAGTCAAATTCATGAAAAATGTACATGAAAAGATTTAGATAAAAGAATAATCTAGCTCAAAATACAATTCCTCACGGGTTTTTCATCATTATGATTATTTATCACACAGTTTAACAGGATTGTTTACTGGGTTACGTTTCGAATATATAATTTATTGTCCATAGTCATATCAGCATAACTACACAACTATGAGACATCCTTTACATCGTCCTAATTTCTTCGCTCCCTTCGTGATTTAAGTAGTGCGATTTCTTATGTACCCGGAACAGGTGCTGAGTCATTCCTGTTGCATGCATACGTGTTGATTCCATAAAGAAAGATTCAGTTGTCAATCTCCCCGTCCACCCTGTTATGTTAGTTTTAAGGATTTTCACCCTGTCCCATTCTAGTGTGTAGTTGTGCGTAACTGTATGCATAGCGACGGATGAGCTTTTTTCTAAATTCCTTATCTTATTAGGATCTACCAATTATGACCTAGCTAGGCTTTTGTGCTTGGATAGCTTAATTGACCCTGGTCGACCACTTTGACTGCCAACACATGACGATTACAGTTTCCGACTAACATATTATACAAACGTTTAAAAGCATGAGATGAATACCACTGAAATAACACTTGACAACGCTTGAAAAAAAAGATAAAAAGCAAGTTAAAACTGAAAACTAAGTAATTTTTTTTAAATATTAACAACCACAAATCACTTTTCTTAAGAATTGTCATATCTCTATACATCAGAAAGTGCGCAGTCCATTGACACTATGGCGAAAGTCGATAAACTCAATATGCTGGTAAACATCGGTAAACGATGAGAACTGTCCCTTTAATCATTATGTATATTAACAGCAGTTGACAGATGGCTTCAAAGAAAAAACACTTTACTACACCACCCATGCGTCAGACTTAGATGATTCGGCAAGTCACACCATTCAGCTACCAACCAGGTGCAAATATTTAGTCTGCTTGTGAAGCCTTTTGATTGGACAATGAATAAGACTTCCGTTTTCAACAGCATCATTTATGAATGTATCCGAGGGTATACATATTATATCGCACAAAAATAATATACACCAACTGATTCGCTGTAATCAGGATAGACTAGCTGAAATCACAAGCTGCAATAACAAAGTGACTTCAGTATTGGAGTAAAGTTGTCGACTTTTCGAAATCCATTAGTGATTCAAAGAGAAATAAATTTTTATAAGAAAATAGCTAGTAAATTGAACTTTACTTATTTGAAGATATTCACTACAAAAGTTACGCTTCATCTAATTTCGGCTTCCTCATCATTCATTTCTATCTACAATTTTATCACACATCATACAGGGTGAAAATTATCACTCACATATAGTACAATCCAACCCTTCAAATTAATTACGATTCTACTACAATGCACCTTTGACACCATAACCTTAAATTTACATAAATATATGAAACCCATTTTTATTGTTCTTTGAACACTTTTCATTCAAAAGTTATTTGTAAACTGAAAAATGTAACCTACATTTTGACGCCTTTCAGTAAACAATGAGCGCATTTTCGCCTAAAAAGGTTAAGTTCACCTTGGTTAGTTGTTCTAGATTTTAAAAGATTTCAGTTTGAGACTATTTGTATGTCAATAGGTTGGTTATCATGAGAATTTATTGAACAATTACACAGCCTTGGTTTGATCAAAAAGTGCTCTGAATACATACGCATCCATTCAAGGTAATTTGTATTACAATTATATATATATATATATATATATATATATATATATATATATATATATATATATTTGAAAGGGTAAAGATATTTTAATATTGAAAACAGGTGAGGGCAATAAAAACACAAGTAATTTGCAACACCGATTGTTTAAGCAAACATGCGTTCACATATAAATGGTTGTTTCAAAGTACCTACAACCAACGAATATTTGCCTCCACACCACAAGACAACAACTAACCGAACTAGAGTCATAAATTACAGAATTTTATTACATCAAAGAAACTTAGTAACATATAGGAAATTACAACTGATAAACTAAATCAAAAAATATTATTCAATACATTGTCTTATCTTTTCACGTTTCATAAAGTGTTGTTTCTACATTGCAATGAAAAACGTGAGTAGATACAGTACATAATTACAAGTGGTACTACATGCAAGCTATAGTATTCGAATGCATAAGTTAAAAGTTTGTTTAGCTGGTACCTTGACGTCATGTTCGGGCTTGTGTATCACAAAGGCCCAATGAGCTATGCTAGTGAAACACTTGTTCCCTCGAGGTCCTAACGTACTAGAAAGGTATGCTGGATAATGATAAGACAAAAAGTATTTGCTATTACAGCTCAAGTTTTTATACAACGATAAGGATCCGAGGTCCAAGTAATACTGGTGATTAAACTGGGAATGACAGTAATAAGGTGTTTCCCTTGAATGACCAACAGTACCGCCCTGATGCTGTCTTCCCTATGGGAAGGAAGGGTTAAAAAAGGTAGGTTATAAAATTAGCATATTCTTTATACCTTGCAGTCATTTCAAGGCCAGTGGTATGACTTTACAGCTGGACTTCAAACAAACAAACTTACACCTCGAACTGCCAAAAGACAACGTGTGACCCGCCCTAAGATGATTTCCTTTGGACTATGCAGTCGAGTGTCATTAATACTAACCCAACTACTTTTCCAGACACCTCAAGAAGAATGAGCCTTCCACAATGTGCGCAACCTCGAAGTGTCAACCACCCTCACAACTCTGTCAGCACTGATATCCCCTCTCTACAATTGTGTGGTAAAGCAAGACTATTTCAACCTAGCCATGAAAATATTACGGCAACTGATGAAACTATGAGATGAAAGTGAATGTGACGCACTGTTTAACCAGACTTAATGAAAATTTATCACGTTATCGTCAACACCCAGTCGATACGTCTACCAATGTCAAAAATCCTTATTTATGAAGTATCAAAGAGTACTGTATTCTGAGCTACTACAAATTGTTAGTCACAGGAAATCAAACCTGAGCAGATTATCCACGGACTCGATCTTTATTGGAACAGACATAAGAGCTACAATAATAAGCACCGTGCGAACTTATTCGTCAAATTAGCAAATATAAGTTATCCCCAGTCATACTTGAAAATTCAACGAAGGTGTATGTTTGATATCTTAAAGATGAGTAAACATGCCATCAGTGCGTGAATGAAATCAAAACAACGCAATAATCATGCAAAACACTTGTCTTTCACTATTGCCTTACCTGCAAGTCAATGGAACAAAATTCAGCAACTAACAAAAAGGTTTATTCAGGAAAATGATACAATCGTCGAAGAGCGAATGACATCGACTTGACCCTTAATCGCATGTCAATGCTTCGATTCATTGAATCATCAATAGAAGTCAAGACCAAAACTAAAAGGTAAAGATAATTCACAGATATTCCCAATCAATCATTTAAAGAAAAAAAAAAAGAAACGATGGCATCATATAAAAGTCAAATGATGAATAATGAATGCGACGAAAATAAATGGAAATCACCAAATCTTTAACATAAAAAATTACTATTGATAAGAAAAATATGAAGGGTTGAAATCATGTCAAGGTATCCACAAGCATTAGTGTGCATAAATTATAATCACAGGTGATCAAAATATCTCATTATGCTGTTTAAAAACAATCACATGGAAACATAATTAGTAGGTAATAAAAGAAAAACTAAATAAGGAAATATATATCCACCCACACCCGAATATACTAAAATGGATTGTTGAGGAAATTGAAGCAAACTTCACACACTCGAACTGGTTAGAAAGTTCATACTTCACAATTGGTATTTCGAAAGCTGAACACTGAGAGCATAACAAACGTCCACAGTGACGACTAAAAAGAACGAACCAGTAAATCATTAAAATATGCGGTAAATGATGTTGCGGTTATGATGTGCAAGAGGTAAATTAGGCTTTAACTGGTAAACAAATTTGAAACAAAAGCTTTATATCAGCAAAGTATCTGGGAAGTCGGATCAGTCCTGGTAGGTTATCTCATCATGGATACAAAAAGCTCAGTTGTCTTTTAGCAACTTCCACCATTTGCGGTGCCACCGCGATATCCGATTGTCTGTTAAGAGTTGGGTGTACTGTACTGCAGTCTCTCCTGTCTCAGTGTGTGGCTGTGAAACATGGCCATTAAAGGTACAAGATAGGACAAGGCTTCATGTATCCGACTACCATTGCCTTTGTAGCATAGGCCGCGTGCCGTAGTATCACTAGGTCAGTAACACAGGAGCCAGGTGTAGAGTTCTAGGGGGCAGGTTAAGGTCAGTTGATAAGGTTGTGAACCTTCATCGACTAAGGTGGATGGGACATCCGTTACGCATGCACAGTCAGTATCTACCTCGTCACCCAATGTTGGCTGAAGTAGCTTCAGGCTGGTAAAAGGCTCAATGCGGTCAGATTAAAATATAGTCCCAGTCCATGAAACCTTTGACTATTGGTGGGACCCATATATGGATAATTTAGGTTTCTTAGTTGAGGTGCACGCAGCAATAGAAACAAGTGGTTGCAGACTCTAGGTGAAATGGTTCAGAGTTGATGTCAATGGCGCAGATGTACCTATACATTATTCTTATCTTAACCGCTATACTGAATTCATCATTTTTTCATTCTTCCTTCCTCTCTTTTACTACTTTCTACTCTCTTTCATTGATTCTTATTGATTACTTCACCTTTCACCTTACTACTTTGTTACTTGTCGTGCTGACATGAGATGTGGAAAGTTGGACTGTTGAGCAGTGATATCTGGTCTTAAGTTGATAGCGATTTGATTGAAAGTGAAAATCAATCAATAATTCCAGTTGTGGTTCACAGTGGTTACCCATCTGAAACGAGGAAACTCAGTAAGTCCTGGTGTACCACCTACAGATGAACGGCAGTTCATGATAATTAACTAGACTAGATGAGATAATAGGGGTGTGTGAATCACAAGTAACTACCTCTATCTGATCTCATTAGGCGATGATTCTAGTTAATAGGAAAGGAAGTAATCAAAAAAGGAATCAGTCTAACATTATTCCTGAACCAATCGATCATTAACTTAAGCAACAGACGTGAAATTACAAACCTAGTTTTGAGTCTTATTAGTGTACTGAAAACACCTTTTACCATTTTCATATTTGCCAGTGCCAAACATAGTGATATGCTTCGATCTGAAGGATGGCATTCATGTCCATGGACTGATAGATCGAATGACAGTATGCATTACTGACGCTATTTATTTAAAAGATAATAGTTTTATTGTAATATACAATGATCAATTTTATGACCTTATTGTCTCTGGTAGTTTTCAGTAAGTATATCTGTTATCTCATTTCTGCATACATTTGTCATATAGGAGCTTTTAAAGATAATACTTCCTAATGATTGACAACTTGAACCGATAAACTTCATTTCCAGGTTCCATGTTGATTTGTCTGTCAAAGACTCACCGACCTACTCACTGCAGATTCTATGTTAGAATTGTAATTAAAACAACGACATTTTTTTTGTTGCAATCACGCTAACAATCAGTTTTGTAGAATCTCCACTGGTTTGATTATGAGCAATTATAGAATTCAGTGGTTCACTTAAGTGTTACGTAAGCTTACACAACACAAGCACACAATGTTATTAAGTTTACGATAATAGATGAAACATTCAAGTGCTTATATCAAGACCAGTCTATGAAGCCAACGGCAATAAATACGAAGCATATTGAAGAGTGTAGACTTATGGATTTGAGTATGCGAGGAAGCTTAGATTGATGGTTAATGGATTGGGGGTAACATCAGTGGCGATCGGTCGGATGATGCAGATACATTTGCAACTTATCATCGAAATCTCAATAATCCTATCATTCTGTGTGTTATTCATTTCTACTGACTTCCTTTTTATACTCCTTACCTTCTCCGTCGGAACTGTCAACATTATTTTTCATTTCTTCGTCATCATATTCACCATTTTATAAGAAATATTGCACTAAAGCCTTATGATGAGAAAAAGATACGTTACTGTAACTGTCTAATATGAACTTTCTAGTACACATGATACTGCAAGAGAAATCCACTCAGCAACCTTGTGCACATTCGTGTAGTAGATAATGAGACAAGTCTATTGTATGAGGGCTAATGATACCACTATCTGCCTGCTCATACCATGTTAAGTGGGGCGGGATTTTAACCATGATCCACTAGATGAAAATCAACTGCTTACGCAAATGAGTCACAACTCCACCATGACACTGTAGTGTTTAAGTTACACACTAAAATACTTTTTCACTGAAACATAGATCATTTTTAATGACTAACTAATAGTTAAGTAAAATAAATTAGCTTCATTTGAATAGTAAATAACTAAAATTTAAACAAAAAGGTACTAACCAATGATGTTTCCTGTTGGTTATTCCAAATTTTACACAACATTCAACACAGATAGAACCATCTTCCCATCGAGGTTCTTGAATAAGTGAATCTAACATAAAAGAACCAAGATACAAATGAAACTTGAATGATGTGAAGACTTTTTAATCTAACCAATAGTATCAATATCATTTAATTTTTCTCTTTAGTATATTAAGCATTTGGATAATACCTAGAAACTGGAAAAAACGCTGATTATTAGAGCTGTTTTTCATTCAGCTTACTTCAGTAACAAAAAGTCATCCATGTAATCATCTTATTCTCATCAATAACCAGTTAATCAATATTTTTGAGCACCACCCATCATGACTGAGCAAGAGACAAATTACAACAATAAAGAGCTCCATACTTGCACACCTTGTTCACACTGAACATTAAGTGAATACGAGAAAAGCTTTCAAGATTATCCATCATATTCCAATTAATTAACTATATGGATTAAGCACTCGCTTACTCCATATAGCACAAGTGATTGCAATCCACCTTTAAAAAAAAACTAACCTTTGTATTCAAAATCATCATTATCAACATAGGACCAGGCATTACTGCGTAACGGTCCGAGTTGACACACCTCACGTCAGTTCATCAAGTAGAAAGGTAGTGAGGTGAAGGATGAAGATAAGTGAATGCAGTCAAAAGAAATATAAAGTGCGAGAAGAAAGGAAAGAGGAGTGACAAAATGGTGAGATTCGGTATAGCGTTGTTAAGATGAGGATAATGTGTGTATACATCTGCGCCACTGACATCGGTTCTGAGCCATATCACCTAGAGTCAGTCTCCAACCACTGGTTCCTCTTGTCCCGTGGACCTCAACCACCTAGTCTGCATCGTCCTACATGGCTTAAACCAACAGTCAGAGACTTCATACATTGGTGCCATGTTTTAGTCTGGCCGGCCACCTCGAGCTTTTTCCAGCCTGGACCTACCTCAGTCAACATTGTGTGACAAGGCAATTGGTGACTAGGCATACGTAGTACGTGTCCCAACCATCTCAGTCGATGAAGGTTCACAACCTCGTCAACTGACTTACCTCTTCTCCCCAAAACTCTACACCTGACTTCTGCATTACTCACATGGTGACACCACAGAATACGTCCTATACCATGAAGGCAACGGTGGTCAAACACTTGAAGCCTTCTCATATCTTCCACTTTCAATGGCCATGTTTCACAGCCATACAGTAGAACAGAGCGGACTGCTGTGCAGTACACGCGACTCTTAATAGACAAACGAATATCACGGCAGCGCCATAGGTGGCGCAAATTGGCAAAAGCCAATCGAGCCTTTTGTATCCGTGCAGAGATTTTATCGGCCACTGGGCCAACAGGGTTGATCTACTTCCCAGGTAAGTGAAGTGGTCAACACACTCAACCACTTCACTCTCTATTGTTAACCGCGGCACCGCTGGAGACCAGTCCTGGAGCAAAAATTTGCATTTGGGTGGTGAAAATCGCATCCCAAACATTTTCATATTCCCACTCAAAGTGTTCAGAAGACTCTGCATCTTGTCAGCGTCTTCACCTAACAGGTTTGTTCGACCGCTTTCATTACAGTGGTCGTCAACATATTGTAATTTCTAATATTACTTTGTACACCTCTTCCCTCTCTTGTTTCTATCAGTATTCATTTGTTTTTTTCATTACTACATAAACACTTATTGTTTATGACTGAACACTAACCAAAAATCACTCCATTTATCTAAGAACAACCTGCTTCATATTTCCAATTTTAATAATACTAGTGATTATTTACATGTGTATTTTTAAAGCATCTTCTCCATGGCTTACTTAAAATCTATGATTATTGTTCACCGATCTTCCACCACTCGATTGCTAATTTGATTAAACTGTAAAACAATATATTAGTGGGGAGTCCAAGACGAAGACCTAATTGAAAAGGAATATATTTCTTTGCTCAATCAGTTTTATTCATTCAAATGGTCTTGGCAAGTATCAATGACTTAGGATATCACATTGTTTAACTCTGCATCTTTTTAAGATACAAACTAACCAAATTGTGAACAATAACCAAAAAGTTAAATTACTCTGTAAATCATCTTCTTTGAAAATTATCAAACATTGTTGAATGATATGATGTATCAGCTGGTACATAAAAAAAAGTATGAACTACTAATGAACAAGAATCCTAGAAGAAACATTTTCAATTTAGTAAAATATAAAGATATGAAACAACTTGTAAAAGTATAGTATTGGCGTTCTTTAGCGACTATTGACCAAATTTATTATTCAATCTAAATCATATAACGTAACTAAGTAACAATAACAAAAACACTAGGAAAGCTAGTCACCTGCAAAGCAACTGAAATATATGGTAATATCATTAGAATTCTATTACAGTTAATGAACGCTTGTCAGTAAAAGCATCTATGGAAAAAAAGAGATGATATTCATCTTAAAAAAATAAGTAGAAGAGGTACTGGTGCCTAATACTGATAGCCTCATGTCCTTTATATAAGAAGCGAATGGTAGTATTGAATGTTTTATGCACTCGCACAACATTCATCTTAAACATAACATTAGTGGTATAGCCGATGATTATTTCCAAAGAAATTGAAGATATTACCATACAAAAGGTTGATAATCCAAGAAAGACAATGGTATTTCAAGGCTGTGAAATCGATGTATTATATACAAAATGTAATGAACTAGTAGGATTTCTAACCAACAAGTGTAATAACCCTTTCTAAACAGTCGCCTTGAATATTGAAATACTATGCTTTCTTAAAAAAGAAATGAATAAAACAGAAAACGTGAGGTATATGCTTAGAACGAAACACGTTTTGAAAATTTCACGAATCATATTCAAAGCATAGACAAACTATCTGAAGTGTTAAACAATGTAACAGAGAAGCTAATCACTTCAAGCTTGCCGTATGATGAATAATGTGACAAAAAAAATGATGGTCAGACGAACAATGTACCATAATGAATTTGAAGAATATGAATAGATATAGAATTAATAATATGACTACCATGAAGCTCCATATTTTTTTCCAATTAACAAGGCGTCAAAGTGAGTTAGTCTAGAGTACACTGTGAAAATCTTAGAAACAACAACATAGTTTGGAGTCGAAATCAATGCTTCCTCCAATGACCCAAAATAAACCTCAGAGGCAACGGAAACTAAATACGTGCATTTATTATACTATTTTCTCTCAAAAATAGTATTGGAGAACACACTATTAAGATACACTTTTATTCTCCTTACTAACACCCTCCATGAATAAGTAAAGAAAGGAATAATTAGAGGAAATCAATTGGATATGAGAAAACCTACCAAGTAACTGTGAAAGAACACGTCCAGGGGATGAAACTTTACACTTCTTCTTATTTAAAGTGAACACAGTATCCCCTTCAGCATTCATCGTTCCCAAAGATGCACCAGCATGAAGTAGGGCTATGCAAAGTGGTATATTTTCTGCTTGGTAGGCTAAAAGAAGAGCTGGAAATAAAGTGGGAAAATTAAAAACCCTAAAAAGCAACCATATTTTTCGATTTTATCACCAGAATTTTCAAAAAAAAAACAACAATAGTTTATTACCTAGTCATTCAGTCAGTGAAAATAAAAAAAAGCTATTACAAAAAGACTGACACCGAAAATCCAAGCACCTCACCGTTCAAAATACACAATTATTGTACGGTATTGGACGCGCGTAATTCATGAAAAATTTGTTTACAAAGGTGTAAGTTTTCAACTGCTAAATTGTAACGATGTTCTTTTGCAACAAGAAATGGCAGTTTATTATTTTTGTACGGTACTTATACTTCTGCAATACACCAACTGTCTTTAAGTTAATTGCATTCATTCAAATGTACCAAATTTCAAAGTACTAGGAAATAAGACTATTAAAAATATGAAGCACATATTAAAATGCTCAGTATGACTTTAAAACTGCAAGACACCTATTGACACCAGCAGACTTCATGAGCACTTGAATTGTATAGCTGAAATCCGGTGAACAGTAACAAATCAAACAATGGCTTTCAGAATATACTTAAACAAGTAGCACTAACTAATTGCTCATACTAAAATTCTTAAATTGCAACGGATGACATCCTTTATCTTGCTTACTTGTAACACTGAAAAAGAATCAGCAATTATGAAAATATCTGTATTCCTTCTGCGATTCAAATCGTGAAGTAACAAAGGTGAATTAGTTCCTGCTGAGCTATTCAGAAAAATTTTACTGCTAGAAGTCTGACGGTTAGGCTGTTTAAAAACAGGGAATTGATTGGTAACTTTCTTCACAGATCACTGTAAAATTGATGTTACGATAGGCATTATTGAAAAGTATCGGTGCATGACGAAGATAGGCCCAACCTACAAAACCATCATCATTGACATATTTCGCATAGAACGTATGTGTATTAATTACAAGTTTCACAGTAATTCTCTTTAGATGCACCCTGAAGACAGAAATAGAGGAAATAAGACAAATATTCACCTTAACACCATAATAACTGATGAATATTTAAGTCTCAATAGCTTTTTTTCAATCTACAAGGGAGATGCGGTGAAAATGCCGTACTAATAGGTCAAGCAGGTATATTCCAATAAGTAGCTTCATTTAGCAAAAGCAATAAGAACACGTTGGTTTCCGAAAAAGTCAATTTTCTACCTAATATGACATTACTGAAACGCAAAAATAGCAAACATTATGGAATGAATCGAATTCATTTCGTGTGGTCTAAATCTTCCACCTGCGCACTAAATTTAAATTTGTTTACAGTAAGCTATCAGTGTCCATTATAAGTCATTTATGGTACATTTCAATAGTAAAATCAACATCAAATACATCTTTCATATCTAGACATGAATACATATGTATAGGAACAGATATAAATGACGAAGTCGAAGACCTAGTCAACCAATATAAGGAACAGATATAAAATCGATCAGTAAATAATACTACGTAATAGTAGTGCAGGCATATGATGGCAGATCAAGGCGGTAGGAATTTTGATAATATATAGAGAGAACAAAGATTGTGTGCAAAGTCTATGAATTAATGGTAGGGGAATGGAAAAGGATATGCTAAAAATCATGATTAAAATATAATGCATTAAAGTAAATCGAAAATGATACTAATATGAATGACGTTTGAGAATAAGATGTAAGACAATAAGGTGAAAGAACAAAACAGTAAATAAGACTGTAGGAACAGATTTTGGTTGTATTGTGTTCTCTGAGCTGGGTTGTTTAATCGTGAAGCTTTCATCGCCTTGCTAGACGACATCATCAGCACTAACTTCAGTATGAAGTGAGCTGTCAATATCTCTCCGTGAGTGATTTAGTAGCTTGCTCTGACGATGTGGTCTGTGATTGGTTGTTTCCTTCGATTGTTGTGTCATTGATTGTATAGACTTTCCTGTTGGCTGTTCCTCTGCTTCACCTCTGACCTTTCTGTCGTTTATCATTTTCCTTATTGGTTGATAGGTCAGGTCTATGTCCATACATCTATTGATTGCTGACTGACCTGAATGCCAAGCTTCTAGAAATTCTCTGATATTCTTTGTGTTTCCTCTGTCCAAAATTTCTACATTCTCGAAATTGAATTCACTGAGGTAATGGAGGGTGAACCACCAACTTCTGTTGGATATATAAGTTCAGCTTCAGTCAACGGATTACTGCTGCTTCTGTATAAAACAACAATCTACTATTTTTTTTGCATTGAGTACCTTGAAAGCTATGTTTGAGTTTAAGGCATGATCTATATCGAGGATGTGTTTACCAATGGCACTGCTTGGTAACCTTCCACCTCTCAATAACAGGCTTTTCAGTAGAGGTTTAAAGATTTGTTCAGTAAAGACCTTCTCCGTCCTTCCAATATACATGCTACTGTAAGTACAGGTAAATAAATAGATAAAATTGGAGGTAACACGAGGAGGTCTCACATGCAAATTAGTTTCTCTGACCATATTCTTCGTGTTATAGACAACTGTTAATTTCCCAGCTAGATAATTTAGTGCAATGCATCCACTACTATTATGTCGGATTGTTTTCTTTGTGTTTACTAATCGACTTCATAGCGTGATTTGTTATGTTACTTGTTACCTGTATTTATTGATTAGGTTGTGAACTTTATCATTCATCTGTGTTCCCGCATAAAGATATGAAAGATGTATTTGGTGTCGATTTTATTATTGAAATGTACCATAAATGACTTATAATGGATACTGATAGCTTGCTGTAAACAATTTTAAATTTAGTGCGCAGGTGGAAGATTTAGACCACACGAAATGAAACAGATTCACCTCATAATATTTCCTATTTTTCCTTTTAAAAAGTTTATAAAGAGAGCTAATTGTATGCTATGACATTATTATTGATGATAGATAAAAATTTTGCATATCAATCAGCTGAAATTATTGAATCCAAGTAAAATAGACAAATGGCGTTAGAAATAGATGCAAGAAAAGAAAAATTATGTTAATAATATTTACAGAAAAAGAATAAAGCAAAAATAAAAATACATTTTTAACAAAACAGATGTGTGTGTATGTGTTCAAAAGTGATAAAACAATACACTGAAAAAATCAATGTCGTAGAGAATATTTTTTTCTGTGACATTATTCATAGCATGCAAATTACTTTTTATCAAGATATTCCTTCTTTCTAAACAATAGCAATAACGCGTTCGCCAAGAAACCTGAAGGTCCTGAGTTCGACCCCTAGCTGGGTCGTGGGTGCGTACTGCTGAGGAGTCCCCTACTAGGACGAAACAGCTGTCCAGTGCTCCCAGATTTTCAGTGGTTCCCCAACTGATGTCAGTCCATGATGAATACTACTTCTAAATAATAAGATCTATTAGTCAAGTCTAAAAATGTATATAATATCTTATTGATTTTGGCTTCCGACTCGTAATTCAAGTGTAAAAGATTCACATATTTCCCATCGAGCTTATTGTTATATCTACGCGATCATACAGTATCCTTCTGAATCCTGAACGCTCACAATGTTGGTATTCATTATGGACTGACATCAGTGAGAGGAATGTTGGGAACCTGGGAGCACCCAACAGCTGTTACATCCTAGTATGGCACTCCTCAGTAGCGCGCACCTATAACCCACCCGACTGGGATCGAACTCAGGACCTTTGGGCTCTATGGTCGTCAAGTTGCTACTGAGTCACTGGGTAGGAACCTAATGGTCCATATTTCCAAATTCTGTCAATTCACGACATAGTGCGACCATCAACCAATGTCATCGTTGAGTATTTGTCCTCACGGCCACGGAATGCGTTGCACTTCTGATTAGAGTGATATTCATTGAGCTTTCAGAACTTACCACTCAGAGAGTGGAAATTGAATAATTCTAAGAATCATCATAATAATAATAACAATCTAAGATTTGCATAGTCATAAAGTCGTGAAACCGACAATTCTCAACCCAGTTTACTAGCTGGTTTCTCATCACACTTGAAAAATAATAATATAAACCATGGCTTCCTAACAACTCTATTTTAACGCCTAAGCAGTTCTGTGAACTACAATCATAGATTTAGAAAAAAACTATTGTACAGTTAGTCGGTGAATATCAACATGAGATCTGAAAATTAATATTTGACAGTACGACATGCCACACCTCAACATCAGTATATCAAGACACAAGGTAGCAAGATGAGGGAAACATAGGCACACAGATCAGCTTGTGACTTATAAAAAGACAACAAATCTATCCCAACCAAAAGCTGATAGTGTTCAAGGTTGGCAAATATCCTTGACACGCATTAATGCAACTTGAAGACGCTTCACTTCTTTAGTGAAGTAAATGTTGATGAGATCCCATAGTCTAGTGATGAGATATACCAAAAAAAACTTCAAAGCTCCGAGAACACGAAACAAATATCATCATCGGCCTGAGCTACACATTTTTTCCACTATCATAAAGAGAATATAATCAAAAGTGGTGGTAAGTCACAAGAAAATAGTAACAAAGGTCAAGAAAAAAAAGGAAGAAACGTGATGCGACAAATAGAGTGGAGGGTAATACGTGAATGCATCCACACCAAGTAAATCGATTCTCAGACAAACCGGCTAGAGCCCCTAGTCAATAATTTCAGTTTTCACTACAACACTACAACAATAAACTACTAGTCATGCTGGCGAACTGACTTTCCTTTTCGACCTACGCTTGACTTATATATGAATAACGTGGTAGTACCATGATACTTGGTGGTGGTTGAACACCTGAAAGCCCCTCGTATCCCCCAACCCCAATAGCCATGTTTCACAACCACATAGTAAAATAGAGTGAATTATTGATTAGTCCTCTCGACTCTTAGTAGACAAGCTAATATAGCACGCCACTGTCAACCTAATTATCTCTTGTAGAGATCTTGTTCAATAAGCACCAAGAAAACATTATTTTCGATATTACTACAATGCACAATAAAGAAGTAATGGAAGCTCATAACCTCAATAAGATAGTGGGTTGATTTTATAAAGATTGATTACTTACTATAATGAGTACTCAATGTACACTAACAGAACTAAACCACTTACGAGTATTTCCGGCAGCATCTTGAGCATTAATTTGATTAGTAACTGATAATTCTAATAAATTTTGAAGCATCTCAACACCGACTGGATCTTGATGTTGTGCTAGCAAGTGAATCGGTAACTGACCTCTGAAAGAGTGTGGAATTTATTAACATTTTTGGGTATCAAAGTTGAATAAATGAAATAAAAATATTTAGCAAACGTTTACCTAACAGTTGCATACAATAAAACTGAAGCAACTACCAACTAAATCTATCCTAACTTTTTACCCAGAATATCAGAGTTAGAGAAGCGCACAAAAAGATTTATCCTTCATAAAACACTAGATCTTCAAATACTAACCAATTTTCTCCATTTGAAAAATTCTTGTCATTGAACGATTGCTTACTCATTAGTAGTTAATTAGAATACAAAAAATAGAATAGGCCGATGTTAACTTAAAAAATTAGATTCCGATGAAGGAAATTAAGACTACAGACTCAACACTACATACTAGTTGAACATAAAGACTTGACATAACTAAACTAGAGATTGAAAACAATATCAAACAACCTCTTTATCAACTAGGATTGGTCTAATATGAGGAGACCTAGAACTGAAAAGACTGCCATAAATATATAATGACCTTGAACTCATTATTCAACTTGTGAGTTATACCTATCAACTCGCAAATGAAGTAAAACCGAAGTCTAATAAGCTGTCAAATACCGTAGTTTTGTTGTAAACGAATGAAGTAATATTCCATCAGTTATCGACTATGAACTCGATTTATCGGCGAATCATTTAGTACTGTCATAGCTTTCATTTCAGTGATAAAATCTTTTAAATTTCTTAATAATAATCCTGCACAGACTGTAGTGTAAGAGGTCATCTATTTTTAATACATGAGCATCAGATTGACCACTCCTTTACGAGCGGAGAAACTGTAAACTATGTAAAAACTGATCGGTCCCCAACTGATTTTTGATATCACTAATTACTTTCTCAGAAAGTATGGTTGTGACGATGCAAAAGTTATTCAGTCATAGTCAGTCATATGATCTTCAAAGGCAGAGCCATATACTATTGAAAAACACGAATATTTGAATACCTATGAAACGTATTTTAAAGGTTATTGAAGTCGGTGAAATATATGCAGCTAACACAAACTCCTTCAAATTATTCTTAATCCACAAATACAATTTGTAATCCTGCCAGTTCGCTTTCATAGCATATCTAAGTCCTTTCCTTCCCAAGGCTAGCATTAAATACACCACTATTTTTGCTCTACTGACTTAAAAGTAGGTCGGTAATTAAATAGTTCTCAAATGAAATTAGAAAAATTGCATCGAAATGAATATGTAATATTTTAGAATCGATCTACTCATGCAGATATGGCTCATTGCAATGTGTGCACTAGACTACCAAGGAATGAACCTTAGATTCAAGACACACACCCTTATATACACACACAATAAAACCTGGACAGATGAGCAGTATCGTAAACCCTAAAACAATCTGTAGCTCATAGGCTAGTGAAAAATCTCTATAATAAGTTGATTTGCATAACTGTTTACTTAATACAACCTAATCAATGAGACAAAATACATTAAAATGAGGGTAAGTATTGTAGTGTTAATTCAAGCATTTTTCTTAACCACAGGAAAATTACTAAAACTGATTATATTTTCAAAGGTAACTAACCTGATGTTTACACTGCAACAATTTGTGGCAGGATGATTGAGAAGTTTCACTAGGCAATCCATCTTGGCATGTCGAACGGCTAGGTGTACCGCTAATATGGCGAAATTGGAAATTTTTAAAGAAGGGTAATTTAAAATGATTTTTCACGCTTTCAGACATACATTCCTATAAAACAAACAACACTCAACAGACATATAGCGTCAAATGCAGGTAGAATGAGAAAAACATGATAGAACAAAAGTTAACGAGATCACTCAACTAACAAAATCTTTGTGGATGGAGTTAGTTAGACTCGATGTCGATGACGAAACACACGTAATAGTCAGTCATGCTACGTATGACGTAACTGCAGTTTGGTTATGTTGAAAGCTCTAATTTGAAACTACAAGGATTGCAAATTAAAATAAGCATTGACAAACAAGCCCATCAAAAGACTGTGATTCATATCCAGGAGCTGTGGTCCACTGATTTAAGCAATTGACTTACAATCAGTGAGTCACGTCACGGGTTCAAACCTCACTCCACCTACCAAGGTTTGGCCAGCCAGGTATCATCATTAGCATACACACAATAGGTGTGGCTCATTGCCTACTGCACAAACGTGCAGAAGGTTACTCAACGCATTTCAATTCGATTTGTATCCAATGGTAAAAACAGTGGTAGCAACACATATTTATATACGACTTCTATATCGTATTCATATTTTATAAGGAAGCAATAAGATAAAACGAGAATGTTTCAAATTCTGAAGATACTCAGCATCCCAATTCATAGGGAAAAAGAGAGACTCCCTGAAAATGACAAATGGATACAGTACCACCTAGTTTACTGTTGAATGTCTGCAATTCAAAACATATATTTATATAAAGTAATGAAAGGACGAATAGCCGCGAAGAACTACATAACTCACGCGTATTCCACTCTGAATCCTGAGCATTTGCATCTGCCCCATTCTCTAGTAAACAATGAACTAGCTGAGGTCTATCATAAATTACAGCTAGATGCAGACCATATTGCTTTTGTGGTGTTTGAGAACTAATGGATGCACCTGCAAGAAGCTGACAAAAAAACAGGATTGATAAACAAATGATAACAATGAAAAAATGTGAATGTATATTGAACAGAACAACCGTAAGACACTAACAAAACATACCTGATAATAAATGTCATCAAGTGAACACGAAGTGAAATGCACCCAGCAACCAAATGCAATCAGCAATCAACCACACCTATTGCGTGAGGGCTTATGATACTAACTGACTGCTTAAAAGTCGGTAGGTGGAGAGGGATCCAAACCCGTAATTCGCAACTGTCTAAATCAATGACAGATGCTCCGCAAAGTCAAAATCAATAAAAACACAATAACTGAAATTTCTGGGAACGAATCAACACTCAGATTATTCAACCATTGTAGGCTATTGTGAAAAATTCTATTGAAGTTGTGTACTTTGAATAATACATTAGTATGAAACTATTAAAACCATGATTTGGGGGAATTCAACGGTCAGTTGGTAAACATTATGTATCCAAACAGCAAATCAAATAATATACCTCATCAGAATGAGTGAAACAGAGATAAGAATCTAGTCACCTCTAACTATAACTACTACCTGCTGCCGGGAGTTATCAACCATTCAGATATATCACATTTTCATTAGGTAATACCTTCTTGTCTAAGAAAAAGATAGACTAAAAGACTATTTATACTGAGAGAGAGGGGACAGTTTCATCTAAATGTAAGCACCACTGTGTACATAAACAGAATACATAAAAACCTCAGCTAAATACACAAAGTATCAACATGGCGTGCATATTCTGAAGGAAGCATCAGGAAATGTAACCTCTACAGTCAATCATCCAATTTAACACTCTTTTCAACAAATAAATACCAAAAAATAAAATATATCCTTTAAAGACTAATACACAAGAAAGTATTAGAATAATGAACTTAAGGCATTGACAACTGCATTAACAAGCGACATGCTCTACAGTTCTGAATTCTCTTTATGCAAATAGAAAATTAAAGTTTGACTGATGAACAGACAAATAATGGTCGCGGAGGAAGTACCAGACGAGGCTGACAGTATAATGACGAAAGGGTTGAATGACAGTAGGAAAATATCAAGCATTTCAATGACTAATTTGCAAATTATTTGCCAAACGTATGGTCCACAGTGATATTACTTACAGCTGAGTAATTGTTCAACTATCCAATTGTGATGTCGTCAGGGTATCCGTTGGAAACTACTTAACCAAGACAACGAACTACAATCTCCGATAAAAGTGTCATGAGCTAACGAAAAAAAATAACTGAAGAAAATGAGTAGTTAGCAAGCACTCAGTTTGATCTGTACATTCTGCTTGTTAGTTGACAATGATCTCAGTTTCAGGAAGTGGTATGATCCACGATACATATAACGATACAATGCACCGATGCGAAACGATTAACGATAGAGCAATGGCTTTTACACACGACATTTAGCTGACACCAGAAGGAGAAGACAATGGGATTGGAAGTATATTTACCTCAACAGAATAAATCCTTACAGATGCGAACTCAGTCATTTATAAATCCATAGATGGCCTTGACCAGGGACAACAAAGTAGCAAATTAAAAGTGTAAAATGGACTAGTCGGCGTTTAGTATCCTAGACTGTGGTAAGAATAATTATCATAGCATAGCGCAAAAAGGGCGCGAAAATAAAGCTAGAGTTTTACAATGATCATATAAACACATTATAAGTTAGTTTGCCTTAGGGATTAGATATCTCTAAGAGGAAGGTGCTTGGCTCGTTTAAGTTTCAGGTATAAGATAAGATGCATTAACGTATATTGAGTTTACATTTACACACGACTTGTGCATCGCAACCATGACTCACAAGAATTTCACAATGCAGCACGAAAACTAGCTACAAATGAAAAAGATATTGAGCCTCTCAATGTATCGGAAACAAGAAAGTAGCCCTTAGTACATGAATATATCGATTTCAGTTCACAGATCTGAATTCATATAGGTATATCTCTGAGTATCTAGAATCTAAACAAACTAAACACCTTTTAGATACTGAGATCAATCTAATTCAGTTAGTAAAATCTTTAAATCAGCCCAAAAGCTTTTAATTAGTGATGTCTATAAATAGTATATTGTATTACATATCACTGAAAATGGAAAATAGTCATCGCTCAGAATACTAGAAAAGTTTGAAAAAACTTCCTGCTATAACACGAAAATTACAATTTTAAGAAGCTGACGAATGTTTTTCTACCATTTCCAACTCAACATCTTACTTCTGATACAAAAAGATAAAGACTTTGTCCAAAGATAGTAAACTTGCTAGGTTCTTTTCAATAAGAAAATGTTATACGGAATCACTCTCCAGAGAATCACGAAACCAGTGCACACAAGATACTGCTTGCAAGGGAATAGGAAACAGGTGGTAATTAAGGTTCACAGAATAAAGTAAAAAGGCAATCAGAAGTATAGAAGACTCACAACTACTTAGAAAGCAATGCTAATGGATGATAGATACAATAGCGACAGGATTTCAGATATTCTCCCGACCATATCAATATGATTATGAGCAATAATTTATGCTCAAAAGTCATCAAGCAAATAATACTAGATCACTGTGTATTATAAATTAAATAAACAAATCTAATGTAGAAACATCTATGTCGATGATTATTGAATCGTTTACTCCAGCCTACAAATAACTCATTAATCTATAGGTGAAACATGTATTGGAGTGTATCAGTGTGTGTTACAAAACGGTGGCTTGTATTAGCTCATGAATATCAATGGTGTAGAATGATGAAAAAAAGTAAAATAGGTGTAAGGTTTCATTAAAATAAAACTTATGAAGTCGAAGAACTAGCATCCTCTTGAAACAAACATCAAGAAGGTATGCAAAGTAGAACAGAACGATATGATAGGTGTACAAAAATGAAGTAGACTAACAAAACAATACCAGTCAGCAGTTCTAAATCATAGTTCCATCTAACTTGTAGTGAAACTCCTTCATAAAACAACCTTAACATTTCTGTCTAGAGGTTTATTAATTGATTTTTAGGTTGGAATTTATCATGCAGTGACATCAATTGGAGGAACATTGGGAACCTGGTAACACTGGACAGCTGTTTCGTCCTGATATGGGACTCCTCAGCAGTGCGCACCCATGAAGCCACCAGGGATCAACCCAGGACCTTCAGGTTCGGTCGCCAGCACGTTACCATTGAGCCACTGGATCAGAATCCAGTGGTCTATATTTCCTACTTCTGTCAGTTCATGATATAGACCGACCTACATCCAATGTCGTCATTAAGTAACTGTCCTGATGTTCGACTTGGTTGACTCCACTGGTCACGACGTTTCATTGGAACTTTGGGAATCACCTCTTGACGCTAGTCACCAATGAATAATAGTATGACTTGAGCACTGCAGTACATTTCTAGTGTTTTAGTTTGTTCGTTAGATGTACCACGCAATAAAACACCATTATTTACTAGTTAACGGTTTAGATACAATTTATTGTCTGCACTCATAACACCTTTTGAATATGTAACATGAATTGGTTACATAACGTCATCTAGTAAATAGCACTGTATTATTGTATTACATCTTATTTAAAAAAAATTGGTATGGAATTTTTACGTTTCATTACTGATAATCGCCATTTACATACTTTAGATTAATCTCTGTATGATGCAGTATCCCCTCATATATTATTTTCAACGAATAGAAAAGGCTATTTCATGTGCAGCAATCACATATTTCCTGTAGTTTTTATGATACATTATCGAATTATCCGTCATTTTCATTGAATGTATGCATTCTCACACAAATTTGCCAAATAGTAAGGTTATTTAACTTTTGAAACAGGTGAAACTGTTAAGAGAATGTGAATTTGTGATGATTCACAGTAAACATTCATCTCTCAACGAGAAATTCCTAGACTTACTCTACTAATAGAGATTTGAATAAAGTAAACTAATGTATTAGCTTGTAGGCAGCTGCTAATTTACATTATTTTCTTTCTCTGCCATTTTAAATAGAAAGAAGAACGTATAGATTACAAAACAGGAAAAGAATACATAATGCTTTCCCAAACTTTTTAATGATTGCTTTTTCCTTATCAAAATAAGTAACTATAAAGTCAGTCAATTTGAAGATTAATGGGGATTTATTTATTGATTTCAGGTTGATATTTATCATGGTCTGATATCAGTTAGGGAATCATTAGAAACCTGAGGGCATTGGACAGCTGTTTGGTTCTAGTATGAGACTTTTCAGCAGTATGCATCCCCGGACCTTCCAGGGATCGAACACAAGACCTTCAAGTTTCGCGGCTAGAATGTTATCATTGAGCCACTGAATCGAAATCCACTGATCCCCGTTTCCTACTTTTGTCAGTACAGGATAGAGCGCAACCACCATCCAGTGCCAAAGTTCTAACAAGAAGTCGCGACCGGCAGGGCCAACCAGGTCGGACATGAAGACAGTTACTCAACGATGGCATCGGATGGAGGTCACGCTATATCGTCCTCTGTGTTTTGTGACTACTTATTTCTTTAGTAGCTAGAAGAACAAAGCTGAGTAAACGGTTGATCGGTTAGTGCGTCCAATCTGACAGTATTCCAGTGATGAAACGTTGAGCAATTGGTTATATCATAAGCTGTCGACAGCTCTAAATTGATTCAGACTATTTGCTTTGAAGGAGCTAGTATAACTTAGCAGCTGATGGGAAGAAAGTTAAATTATACTTACCAGACTGCGCAAAATATCTTCATCTACACCAGTTTTTATGGCTAAGTGGAAGGGTGTCAATCGATGTACATCACGTACACAAGCATTCATGTCAACACCGATTTGAATCAGAAGGAAAATGGCTTCACGATCCATATTTTCTATCGCAGTGTGTAGAAAATTCCTTCCTGCAATATCCACCTATTTACATGAAAAAATACACCAAGAGTTATATACTGATCTATATTAAAATCTGAATCAAGCATGTAATTTCGGATAGTCAAAATACGAAACAAAACGCTGACTTGAAGCTATGGAAAACAGCAAACCCTAAAGAAACTGAAAATTTAAAAAACTTATATTTTTAGCTGGAAAGTGAGCACCACAAGGGTTATGGTTAAAGACGACTACATCAAAAAGGCGGAAGACTTACTCATATATCGAAAGGTGCGTCAACCAATTGAGACAAATCTAGTTCGGAACTTTGACTCTCACACCGAGACCTTAAACAAACTCATCAAAGCGATACGAATTACAATAAAGGACAAGGCTAGTGGTAAATGAAATCTAATAGTCCTGTTATTCCACGTTCCTATGGTAGACTGAAAATATACAAACCGAAAATCCTTCTATGAACAGATGTTTCACTTCTAGGGACTGAAGCATACCATCTAACAGAAGAACTCTCTTTAGAAAACCGAAAAATCTGGTAAAATCATACAACCACTCTATCAACTCATCGACACAATTTTTGGAAAAATCGAGCACATTCATATTGATAACAACGAACTGATGGTGTCTTTTGACGCTACAGCTTTATACATCTCAGTTGAACCGAAACTGACTAAGGATACAATGGCTCTTCGCCTCACCAACAATACGCACCTCTCAGAAACCACACAGTTCCAACGTTCAGGTTTGATGAAATTAACTGATTTATGCCTTAGAACGTGATTTCAATGCGACGGCGAACTCTACAAACAGACAAAGGGAACACCAATAGGATCGCCTATATTAGGACTAGTTGCAGAAGTAGTAACGCAAGGACTGGAAACTGTGGTGTTGCTGTTGATCAAACCAAAACTGAATCTGATATGTAGATGACGCGTTTGTCATCATCAAAAGAAACGCATCGAAAAATCCTTAAAACTCATTTAACAACTTCTTCGACTACACCAAATTCACAACTGAAGAAAATTTCAATAACAAACTTGTATTTTTAGATGTTCTGATCACTAGAACGGATTCGGGAAAATAGGAAACTGTAGAATACAGAAAAACAACTCATTTGGATCAATTGCTCAACTACAGTAGCAACAAGTCACCGGCATACAAAAACAGTTGGGCAAAACATTGTTCAAAAGAACTACACTGCAGTACATAAACCTTACGGAGAAAAGAAGAAAACCACTCAATGAATGTTTTCCTGAAAAACGGCTATCCACGTAACTTCATCAAAAGATGTTTGTCTAATTGACCAGCAGTCAACCAAAAAACTATCCGTGGAAACAGAAGGTAGATTATCTTCCCTTATATGAAGGATGTCTCCGAGATACCAACGAGATTACTGAAGCCTTTTGAAATCGATACAGCTCATAAGCTCAAAAAGCCTCTTCACTCTCTGTGATACAGGCTAATAGGTGCAGTAACGGAGGAAAACGAACCAAACGTTATCTGCAAAACAAACCTCAGAAACTGCGTCGGACAGGGTGACTGCCCTCCTCGTATCCGTCAACAAGATCAACTAGCAGTGAAGCATCATGACATATCTTTGCTCATATCAATGCTTAAGGACAACAGTGGACCTGAATTTGATTGGGAAAATGTCAAAACCCCTGGAGAGAGAAAATATGAAGAATGTCAGAGAATTTTTAGGAGCTTGGCATTCAGGTCAGTCAGCAATTAGTAGACATATTGACACTAACGCAATCTACCAACCAATCAGAAACAAGAAACAACAAGAAGGTCAAAGTTCACACCAACAGGATAATCAATCGAAATACGTATGGAGATAATGACAAAGTTTTAGTAGAAACAAACAATCATACCCAATGTTATCAGAACAAACTACTAAGCTACTTGTGGAGAAAATCTCACTTCTTTTTGACGTTTTTGCTGATGATGTTGCTTAGAATGACGATGAAAGCTTCACGACTAAGTCTTCCAGCTCCGAGAACACAACACCACTAAAATCATCCCCTTGAGTTACAAATATTCCCCAGAGAAAAAAAGATTGATTTAACCTATGAAGTGGAAATGTAAAGAACCAAGACATGAAAAAGGATAGTGGATGGTAAAGCAGCTTCTGGATACACAATTCAGCTTCCAATTTCTGCATTGCCAGAGCCTGAGTAGTGCAAAGTGAACTGTTTTTGATACCCCCTTGGAAGACTATATTGTGTTTTGTATGCTCCTGCAAAAAAATCCGGAAGTATGTCCGCTGTCAACTGAATGTTGTAATATGCAGCTACTGACCGATTTGAGCTGACCTTTACTGAACCAGGTTGGAATGTGTTGACGTCAACACTGAACATTCTATTTCTGTGTACAGTCCATGTACCTAGCACCACAAGACCACGTGAATTTATCAATTCACATGGTAGTGACTAGCAGTGCTAGTTTATCCTCAGTACACATGTTCAGCATTGAACGACTAAACAAGCGATTTTCACAGTAACCACATAGAATGTTCCTATGACAGCCAACGTTTTAGTACCTACTCTGCCGTATCTCTATTAAAGTAATGGTTCTTAAATGGCCATATCAACGAACGGTCGATGATTTATGTTGTATTTCAGTTTCGTTAGCATGACTTAAATAAAAGTTTTCAAAAATATTATTTGTGGAGAATAACCAACCTGTAGAGCCAGTGAGGGATCTTTTTTAATAAGAATTTCTGCAATTGTACGTTGACGTGAATCGATAGCCATATGGAATACAGTATGACCTTGTGCATCACGTATACTACAATCGATTTGAGGTGTTTCAATTAATAATTTAACAAGTTTTTCATCTCTTGATTTTACAGCTAAATGTAAAGGAGTTTCACCATTATAATCCTACAAGAAAAATTTTTGATTATAAAAAATATAAACAAATTGGATCATGTTCTTCACTTTCAATATCATTTGCATAAAATCCTGCTTATCTTATTCATTCCAAAGATGAGGATAAAAAATAACTAGAAATATTAGTTGAATGGAGGCAATCGGCAGGAAGCCAATGACCTAGGTTTCATGCTTTTCATCACTCGTCAGACAGGCGTACCTGCAACCTCGATGGAACAGATGTCCCACCTGAGATTCGGACTTACGTCACCCAGTACTGTAGCCAGAGACGCTGTCAATGAGCTATTCGAGTCACAACTTATCTCCTACAGGACTGGATTACATATATTGATTGGTCACTGGAGAGTAATCAACTTCGTGTTGTCCAGTCCAATGTGCTGATCGAATTCTATAAATCAGTGTTAAACGGGAACTGTTTTCATTTCGTGAATGTCCAGGTTATTAGACCACTACTAGACAACAAGATTAACTTAATAATGTCCAAGAATTAATTCGGTGATATATGACGAAAAACTTTTTCATGCATCGAAACCACCAAAATCAAAAAGACATTCAGAGTAAGCTTTTATTAATTCGCCTTCTTAACAGAGTGATGTAATACAATAAGTCATTCAAATAACTATGGCTTAACACAGTCAACTTATATCAGCATGCTGCCTGGAATAATTGTGCAACAGTGTGGCTCATTACATCTTAAATCAGTACATCAAGAAAAAAATGAAAATAATAAAATTAAAAGTCACAGATCATTAGATGAAGAGATCAAGGAGTCAAAGCAAATGACAATGTAATGTAATATTAGCTGCTATAGCTTTATTCTTCTCTGATAGACTTTTTAATTTTTGGTCAATAAGTCTGACCACCAGATAAAAGTGGCAGCTATCGGTTAGAATTGTAATCTATGGTTGATTGGCGAAAAATCAGTTTTATTTTCCGCTTTGCCATAACAATGTTCAAAATGAGAATTTCTTCTAACCTAGGACCTTTCAATTTTACACTCAGCTGAAACTCCGACTAGAAATTGATTGGAACAAAATATCGGTGTGTTATTCGTAGAGTGATTGACTTGACACAACCACACCTAGTCCAAAAGACAAGTTGTTATAAGAATATTTCTAGTTACAGAATTACATAACCGAAATAATTAGTTTTCTGATGAATTAGGAAATTATCCTGTCATTATCTAAATATTGTTGTTGTTAAAATTTCAACGATAATCAGTTATGGTAGGAATTAAGTAAATAAACTGACGACCAAGTCAATTCATCTACCACATGAAGAATGAAGTTAAAGCTTGACAATACTATTTTATACAAGAGGCCAGAAGGCTGCAGACTATGAACTTTAGAAATTCAGAAGTGGATGAAACGATATCACAAAACTAATCTTCTTTAAAGTATACCTGAGATGCATATCCGAATGTTTAGAAAAAATGATAATCAACTTCATCAAAAGCCCAGATATATGGGAATAACACACACACACAAACATGCATCCATTTATACCTTTCTTACACAAAATTCAATCTAGAAGAATCAAAACCGAGGAAATAATTGACAATTCGACTGTCTTGGGTAGTAATAACAATAAAGCTAAGCTATGTTGCTTGACAAGAACGGTGAATTGTGATTGAATAGATACCAGGCTATTCACTTGGTGCAATCAAATACAAACCACATAACTGTCTATCAGTAATGACCGATCGTACTAATCAGCACCTAAAGGCAAATCTGAAAATAGTAAGAATATAAACCAAGAACAATGACACAAGTTTTCCTTCAGTTTCAAATGCCACTTTGTTACCACACCGTATTAGTCCTAACTACTTACTGCTAATCAAACTGATACGCAATGAAAGTCTTTCAATAAACTTTATGAAAATTTAGTACAATGTATTTGACCAATATCTTCAACATTGAATGATTCAACGCAAGATTAAAAAAAAATTCATATAATTTAACTGAACAAATATTTACCTGTTGATTAACATGTACACGATTACAATTAACAAGTGCTTTAACCAGTTCATACATTCCGACTGAAATAGCTATATGCAAAGGGGATCGAGCTAAGTACGGCATGAGATAATCCGAATGATTTGTAGTTTCATATGATAATTTACAATTATCCAATTGTGGGCATACATTGACATCACAATTTCTATTTCAAAAAAATGTACAGAGATAAAAAGCCGCTTAACAATCACCACACATAAATATTACCGTAATGGTAACGTGACAATTGAGAGACGAGGAAAAATACAAATCAGTAACCAGTTTGGCAGAGTTGTGGTTCACTGGTTTCGAGAGATGACTATCAACCATCAGGCCACGGGTTCGAGTCCCACCCGAAGGTTCATGAAGCAAAGTAGCATTATTAGCCTTCACATAATAGGTGTCCCTCACTGCCTACCGTATGAATATCAGAGAGACTGTTGACTGCATTTCACTTCATTTACTAACCAGTTTGTATCATCGGTTCTACACGAAACACATCTACCGACACAATGTTTATCAACCAATAACTTCATGTTTTATATAGTTTGAGCTCAAGAGGACACCGTTCAATATGAAACACGCGGATACATACACGAAAACCAATACCCCTACACTATAATCTGATCATTAACCCATTCACCAGTAACTAAGAACAAGACAATGCATAAAGAAGCTGAATGTGTTTCTCCTCCGTATGACAAGCTGATGAACAGGGTCAATGCTCATATGTGTAGTTTTCAGTTAGGTGACTCTTGGGGATTAGCCACTCAATGAATTAGTTTGTATAGACAAGCTCAGAATTTCGAGGAAAGTTAAACTTCCTGAAATGGGATGATTGAAAATATTTAATTTTCTATCCTCATCGGGACGAATTTCGGAGAAATAGTGATAATCTCCAACAGTATTATCAAAAGAAATATTTGTGGACATTGATTGAATTTCATAGTTGATATCAAAATCCAATGAGTTTGACACGTACGTACTACGAAGATAAATGCAGTATTCACTTCAAATTACTTGGTCTATTCTTATGTAACTCATCGAAAATGACAAGGTTATGAATCACAAATTAGGCATCTTATTTGTTTTAAGAAGCATGATAAAAATAGAGACTATAGTCTACTGGTAATGATGTCCCACACTATACTCATCTCCTATATAAAAACAATTATCTTTATCACTTAATAACTATTCCGTCCCGTTAAGAAAAGTATTCACATGCCAGAGGTGATATTTCTTCACATTTTGAAAAACTGAGAACATGTTGGGTTAATCTACAACTCTGGTTTGAAAACAGATGCATTGATCAGCTCATTAACTATAGGAAATCCCAGCAGGTAAATAACCACTAATTATGGAGGAATATTGTCGCCAGATAAACAGTGTTATCTTTTTCAAACCGAGTGTACAGAATACCACAAACAACCATAGTTAAATCAAACACAATAAATATGCAATGTAAGCCCGTATGCAATAGAAAGTCATCCGCCAACTTCTATTAACCCAGAATACGTAATACATTCGATAATTCAGATAATATTCAAAATAAAAGACATGATTTTAGAAAACTGCTCAGTACTGTTACCATGTTGGCCATATAACATATGCAAAGAGAAGCCGTAAATAATTTGCAAAATAATCTTATTATTTATCGAATACCGGTTAATCCAAGTTAGCTAGTCAGATCCATTTGATTTGAACAATTCAACTTTGTGAACTGAATTTTTCCGGGTACACCATGAATGAGCTCGATCTCAAGCCGATGGAATGATCGCCTGGTTGTTAGATCTCTACAATCTAGCTAGTGAAACCTACAGATCACCCCGAGGGGATTCTAACTACTCATGCTGTTCAGCATAAACTATCTCCAAACACAAGTGAAAGTTGTCAAGCTGAAAACGTTTTACACAATAGGCTTTTAACAGTCTTTAAACTATATGGATCCTTTATCTAAACAGATGCGCTACAATCTTGAACCACTTGGATCAGTGACCAAAGTGAATACTTGATTGACAGAATTAAAAACTGGAAATGATATTGCCCACGCTTTCAAATGACCGATGATTACTCTTAAAATAATCCACCATCAGGATAAGCTCCACACAAACAAACCCACGATATTTCTGATTGCAGTGCTGAGTGAGAATGGTTTCAACCTATGAGGAACAATTGGTTCTCTCAAAGTTTCTGATTGCTGATAAATACTAAATCCAAATGGATAGCTTCCTTCGAGTTACCTTCAACTCAGTCAGTCGGAATCAACATGGAACCCATATCACTGCATAACGGTCCATGTTGCCACATCTCATCAGAACATCAAGTGAGAAGGTACCAAGATGAAAGGCAAACAAATAAAGAAAGAAACGATCAAAAGTGGCAGAAAGTCATGAAGAGAGAGCAAGGAAGATTAAGACAACAATAAAACTCGTTATGAAGACTAAGAGGAAAACAATATGTGGATGGCATCTACGCCAGTGAAATCGCATTAGAACCGTATTATCTAGAGCCTCCAAGCACCTACTTTGGTTGTCACTCCGACGACAACCGGAGAGTCTACATTCTCTTACACTGTTCAAACCAGAAGTCAAAGACTAGCAGCGAAAATAACTTGATACCCAAATTTATTCAGAGAGGTTAATTACTGAAAGCGTTGGATTCCCTAAGATTAACTCGAACAAATTTTGAAGACAACAAGGTGATAAAAACTGGGACTATGGTGAACACCGGAAGCGAGAGAGATAAAGAAGGCATGAGCATTGAATTATACCTAGCAACTATTTAGGCCTATTAGGGATACAGGCAAAAAAAGATGATGGTGAGTAAAACCATGACCGAAAAGAATGGGATGGTGACAACATCAGAGCTCAGGTGGCTAGAACGTTGGGCACAACACTTTGAAGCACGTTTCAACTGGTCTTCAGTAATCCTTCGGTTGTCCAACCTCCAGTCTTAACCTGAATGGGATGTAGGTGTCAGTCCTTCAACTCTCCTGAAGTTGAGAACGCTGTTCCGAACCTTAAAAGATGCAAAGTAGTAGGACCTGGCAGTTTTCCACCTGAAGTTTTCAAAGATGGAGGTAAAAAATCTCTAATTAAAGTGACGGAGGTACTAGGTAGTTTATGGGAATTAGAGGTAGTCCCGTCAGACTGGTGTACCATACTGAGCATCCCAGTTCATAAGAAGGGGTAGAAATCTTCTTATGACAACCGTGGTGGGATTAGCCTGACTAATATTGTGTCCAAGATCCTAAAGTCCATAGGTATGCGACGCCTAACTGGAGCTCGAGAAAACCAGGCATGTTTCAGACTTGAACGAGGGTGTATAGATCAAATTTCACCCTCCGACAGATTTTAGAACATAGGCATACCTACTGGTGGCCGACACTTGTCATATTTCTTGACCTGAAGGCGACATTTGACTCGATCGACCATGAGGTGTTATGGTAGTGTCTGACTGTGAAGCATAAAATGCCTACCAAAGCTCTCTACTCAAACCCACGCAGCCGTGTCACAGCTTATGGAGAGTTGTAAAGTGATTTGACAAAAACTAGTGGTGTACGACAAGGATGTCCAGTGTCACCATTCCCCATTAACTTCATAAAAGAAGTACTAATGGACATAACCCTACGTACGTCTGACCTCACAGGGATTGACCTACTTCATCCAGTTGACTTGGAGTATGCAGACGATATTATCCTGCTAGGGAAAGACGATGAAAAAACCCAGGGTCTTTTGAACACACAGAGCGAAAATCTATGTATTATTGGCATGCGTTTCGCACCCGTCAAATGTAAGATGATTCTCCAAGACTAATCTGTTGTAAGTACTCCCAGCCTAACAATAAGGAGTGAAGTGGTGGGATACGTCAACCACTTCACTTACTTGGGGAGTTGCATCAGCTCGAACGGTTTTGTTGCTGACGAAATCTCAGCGCGCATACAGAAAGCTCATTTGGCGTTTGCCAAATTACACCACCTGCTGCATCGGCGGGGTCTTCGGCTATCTACCAAAGGATGAGTATACTGCGCTACAGGTTGTTGTGTCCTGTCGTACGGCTGTGAGAGATGGCCGTTAAAAGTAGAAGATATGAAGCGATTGCAGGGTTTTGATCATAGATGCCTTTGCAGCATTGCTCTCATGTGGCGGGATCACCATGTGAGAAATGCTGAGGTCAGGCGAAAGGTACTAGGCAAGACAGTCAAGTCGATTGATGACGTTGTGAACCCTGGTTGACTGAGATGGCTTGCACGTGTAAGGCGCAGCCCAAGCCACCGCCTACCTCAACATGCCATGTTTGAGGAAGTTGGGTTAGGATGGAAAAGGGTTCAGGGTGGCAAGACGAAGACGCGGCACCAGTCGATGAAGTTGCTGACTGCTGGCTTGAGCCGTGTTAGACGTAGACTACCTGGTTGGGATCCCCGAGACGAAAGGAATCAGTGATTGAGGACGCTTGGTGACATAGCTGAAAATCGGTCACAATGGTGTAGATGTTTCACTCCTTGACATTTTTTAAAGTTTGAATATTCACATTAACCCTTATCTTCATATTGTTTATTGTCTAACACTACTTTATCTACTTTCATATCACTACTCTCCTATCCATCTATTCTTTGTGTACTTCTGTGAAGTGTGGCAACATGAGCCGATGCACTCCTGTGCGATGTTCTATGTTAATTTTGCAGTCACTCAGTTTTAATGCAGTTTAATATGCGTATCAGAGTCTAGCACACTTTAACCGATTCCATATACACTGAACTTTATTAATGGCCAGAAATAGGAAAATTTTGCACAGTCTTCCACATGAGATAACTGCAAACAGAAACGATGAGGAAAAATAACTATCATAACAATGACTCAGATAAGAATAATTGGCTTAACAGTCTTCCAGTAAACAGTTACTACCCTACCCAAACAACCTATTAGCTATTACCAACCACTTGATATGTGAGAAACTAACAAAGTGAAAATAAAATATTACATCAAAGGCACAAAACTTAAGCAACATTAACAGACAATAACAAAATTAACTTCGTTTAATGTGCCACTGACCGTTTCACAAGGAATATAGCAGCTTCCTCATTATTTTCACAAATAGCTCTATGTAATAAAGTGATTTTTACATTTGGATCAAACAGTGCCCATGCATTAACATCTATTCCACAATCCACCTAACAATCAGAAATCATTGGAATAAAGTTAGAGAAAACAGTCATGTGGTTAATTTTGGACATTAAATTGATACGAATATATCACATGAAATAAGCATGGGATAGCAAAGTTACATTTGATGTACTCGAAGGCTTATTAATACCATGGAAGAAGTCTACTAATGAGGTACACACTTGCCAGTTCTAGACACTCATATATCAACCGTTGTGGCACAAATTCCTAAATCCATACACAGAAGTTTAGACAGCCAGCTAGTTGCACCCACCATGGTTAACTGGTGACTAATAAAATTTCGGTTCCGACAGAACAAACTCGACTGGCTTTCGATACCTTTATCTCCTATGATACCCATAATAAATCTGAATGTCGATTAAGGGTCAAATGCACTGCACAGTGGTAAACTCTGGGTTACTCTACGGTTGTGAAACGTTGCCATTAAAGACGTAGTATGAAAGAAGGCTCTAGACACTTGATCATCATTACCTTCGTAGTATCGCCAACGTGTGATGAAAGCATATAATGAACAATGTGAAAGTTCGGTGTGGTCCTAGATAAGAGAAGTAAGTCATTTCATGAGGTTAGAGGCTATCATTACCTGACGTGTTTGAGTTATAGAATACGGGTATCTACTTGACAACTACTTTCATGAGCTATGAGCTTCCAATATGTATTTATAAAGTCTCTGGTTGTTGGTTTGAGTCACGTAAGCTTTCTGGTTGGGGTCTGCCACACAACTGAAACCGTTGGTTGGAGACTGTATATGGTACGAGCCAGAAATCATCGCACTGATGCGAACGCATTAATGTCATACCTTCAACTAAGTCATAGTATGACATACTTGATTTTCGTTATCTATTCCTTGTATGGTTCAGACGCCCAACTCGTCGTTTCCATCTGGGTTCCACTCGACGGCCTGGCGCGTGATGTTCCTATATGGTCTTCTCAGTGTATGTCCAATCTAATCCATCTCCACTTCCTTCTGCATATTCGTTGGGTGATAGGTTGTTGGTTGGTTCGTTGCCAGGCCAGAGTTCCTTGTTGCTTATTCTTTCTGGTCATCTGAGCTTCACTATAGAGTGAGAGTAAGTGGTAGCCATTGATGTATGTCTGTAGTTTGCTGGAAATCCCTTTCGTAACGCGCCGCCAAGCCTCTGAACTATCATACAGAAGCACTGATTTGACATTAGTGTCGAAAATCCGGATCTAGTTCACGCTTTATGCTGAGTGCAGTAGATCTCCACATTGATTTCAGATTAGTGAAGACCTGTCCTGCTTTTCCGATCTTGACTTTGACGTCCTCATCTGTGCCGCTGCCTGTAGTTGAAACGATGCTCCCTTGCCTAGGTAGATGAAAGAGGCTGCTTCCTATAAGTTCCTCTCGCTGATGGTGATTGGTGCTTCTTCTTGTTGGCTGGGTATCTTCATCACCTCTGTCGTCTCTACGTTCACCTGAAGGTAGTCCCGTCTTTCTTCTCTGCCTCGCCTCTTCTGCCAACTTATTGGTTTTTGCCTGTGGATCTCCGACTTTGTGCAACATTACACATGAATCATCGGCGAAATCTAAGTTTTCTAGGCTCTTTTCATCGGTCAAACAGCGTGTGCCCATCTTTTCGCTCCTCACAGTTTCTTGCATGATCCAGTCCAGTCCACCACAATCATGGAGATCATCGGTGATAGTAGGCAGACTTGTCTTACTCCCGTTTTCACTTCAAAGACATCGCTGAGCTTTCCATTGTGAATCACTTGACATGCAGCATTATATAGCATATGGCTGCTGTTGAATGAGGTTGATAAAAGTTTGTGGCACTCCATAGTGTTGAAACAGTTTCCAAATAACTTCTCGGTAGATGATGTCAAAGGCCTTTTTAAAATCGATGAAGTTGAGGTAAGGATCCAGTTGATTGCTATTCTATGCTCTTATTCTATGATGACGTGTAGCAGAGCGTTGCAAATTGATCCGCAAATAATTTGTTCTTCCTGAAGCCAGTCGGTTCAGGTGGTCATTTTGAATCCAGGGGATTTTTTAATCTCTCCAGGATTATGCGGCCTAATATTTTGCTTGGAGTGGACAGCAGCATGATTCCGAGCCAGTTCTTGTTTTTTCTAAGACTTGGGTCATCCTTCTTTGGGAGTTTGACAAGGTAGCCCTTCTTCCAATCAGTAGGCAGATACCTTTCCTTCCTTCCAAACCTTCTGCAGTAGTAGTGTGAGCCTGTTTGCTGTTATCTCTGCATCTGTTTTCAGTGTTTCTGGAGGAATTCTATCTGGTCCTGCTGCTTTCCCGGCTTGCAGCAACCTTATGGCGTTCTGGACTTCTGCTTTTGTCGGACGGCTTGTGTTCACTGATAGTTCTGTGGCTGCTGGTGGTATTACCGAAACTATAAGATGCGTGAGTTTAACACTCGAATTAACTTCTGTAGTGAAGATACAAAATCCGTTATATTACTCAGAAAAGCATGAGTAAACGTTAAGAAGTGTGTATCAAGATGCCTAACCTAGCCTACGAAATACTTTATCATGATGCAAGTCATAAATAGTCCAAAAGTTAACATTCGTGTGACAATTTTTCTTTATTTCAACAGATCACGAAGAAATAGTAAGATGGTTGGAGATGTGTATATCTGAGTTGAGGAATAGCAAAATTGTCCGATACTTCAGTAACGGAGTAGTAGCGAAGCTCCGCTTCTTGATCAGCCAACAGAGAAAAACAAAAAAATAATACTAAGGCAAAAACAGACAGACACAGAAATGGACTGATTCCAGTCAACACATCTTGAAAATAGAACGTCACTAAAAAACAGCGAGAAAAAAGAGCAACATTAATATGGAAGGAGAGGTAAGAGGTCAGTAAGAATCTAGATTAAAACAAAATATTTCTGTCACTCAAAAAACGAAAACAAACGGATATATCTACGTTACTATAATATATTTTGAGCAACATGACAACAGTCTTCAACCATCTACTTCAGTAAAGTCGTAAATGCGATCCGAACAATCTTTGAGATATCACACGATTTGAACTAGTTGCAAGTCACTGAGCATTGCTCGTAGCTAGCCATTCTGATGTTGCAGATATTCTGTTCCCGAATTCTAGCTAGCACAATCCATCGAGATAGGCTTCCATTTATCACACCTAAAACTATTACCCAGCCAACTCATTCGAAGGAGCTTCACAACTATATCAAACGAATCGCATTATTTATCTAAAATTACACGTAATCCCCACAGTTTTCACTAACTTCGTCGATTAGCAGTCTACTGGAAATAATATATGCCAACAATAAGGTCAAGCGGTTAGTTTACAAGCCCATACATCACTTTTTAAAATTAAATTAGGAATGATCGTAGACCAGGCATGAAGTGGAATAACCGACTTCTTCAATGTAGAAACCATTTACAACACTCATATTCCTGCATCTAACTATGATCTTCTAGGAACAGTCACCTGCATTTTCTTAAATGGTCAAAAGATTTCCACGCGCAGCATTTTCTCAATACTACTGAAAATGTTACTTATGAGTAATTGATGCTTTTAAGCATAATTTCTTACTTTACTTAATCTGACTGCCGTCATTTTACTGGTTGGAGTTGCGAAACGTTATCCAGCAGCATAGTATCATTTTCGCATCCTGATGGTTCAGCCATATCATAGTTTGCTGTCATATAACCTCTAGTGTATAAGAGTGTACAAGAGCATATCGATATGACTATGAACAATAAATTATGTCCACTGTATGATATATCTAATAAACCTACTAAAATTAGAAAAACTCCTAGCGTAAGTGTACAGGCTTATTATCACAAAAAGGATCACTGAATAAACTGTACGAGAAAACCAAACAGTTTTAGACGTTATATGTTACATGACTATCTAGTGAATCATTCAGGTGAAACTGATACCCAGTACTTAGTCAATGAACGCGGAGGAAGAAACTATTATATCTAGGAGTATAATATCAACAACACAATCGCTTCAGGTGATAGCTTACAATAAACTATCACGCTAGTAAAGATGTGGAAGTATAAAGCTTCCTTTGATATCATTTACTAACTCAGTATATTCTAATTAACGTGAGACATTAAAATGGGAACTACTAATTAACTCGGCTAAATACACTGATCCCAAAAAAGAGTGCAGTTGTGATTAAATGCTACTTGATAGGCCTACTTACTTAATCTGGATGAGCGGAGAGATCAGATGCACTAGTAAGAATACAAACTATCTATACTTAGATGTTGCCTAAACCTCTTCAACACTCATCTAGATACTCATCCACTACTAATCACGGTCACAGAATACATCAATAATTAATCTCTTCACCGTCTGTTTCTATTTGTTACAATGTCCGTAGCAGGCTATTTTTTGAGTACACATCAACAGGAGATAAATCGTTGATATAAAACAGCACTTACCAACCAACCTAAGGAGTACATTTTCTGTCTTTATTCAGTGGTATTTCCACTGTGTAAGAGAAGTTACACAACCATATACCGTAATGAACAATTGGGTTTCAATACAGTAATCATTTATACAGCTCTTACTCGCGGATAATCACATTTCCAAAGTGAATACACACACCGGCTCAGTTGCTGTGTTAGCAAATGAATTCACATCGAAATTTGTAGGTTTATTTTCCAACATGAGTGGCATAAACGCAATATAGTTATCACGAACAGAAGTGAACAGACCAAAGGAGCGAAAAAGGCGAAAATCGATATCACACTCATGTATTAAAATCCTCTACTTCATCAAGATATCCACGCTTTGATCATCAGATTTTAAGTGTTTCCAAGACCAAATGTACCAATAACAAACTACATGCCATCACTAGAAATTCATTCACAAACAGGTAATAAACTACTAATTAAATCTTATTTCAAAAGAAATTCGAATTCAGAAACGCATAATTCAAAAAAGTGCTCAGTTGATAGTTTTACCGAACCAATCAACACTCGAGTCACCTTTTTACCTAATTGGTTTATAAATACATATCCGGTCAAGGTCATTCAACTTACATTACTTCAATCATGTAAATGATACAATTTACCGTTTATCTCTTTCACGTGTTGGCTGTCAAACATAACTGTACACATTTGAGATAATGATTAACATGCATAACAAAACCACTAAAAACATAAGTGGTAAGTGAGAACCACGTAATCCGAAAAGTAACCCAACGGTGATAGAGATCAACTGTCTCCCCTCAGTGTTAACGTTGGCTGAGATAGGATGTAGTGCGGAAGGGTTTCAAATGAGTAGATGAATATAATGAGACCAGGTATAAAGGTTTTCACTAGTGTTCTAAGCCATGTAAAGAAACAGAAAATGTTAACATTTAATATACTAGATGATAAAATCCACCTATTATGGAAAATCTGAGATACAACTTAAAATATTCAGTTGTACGGTACCTAAATTCCTTTTAATCGGCCCCTACTTGATGTTGAATACTAAGAATCGATCCTGTTGACTTGCACCCTATTTCACTTTGTTTAGAAAGAAAGTATTTAATTTGACTTCAGTTGCTGTAAATCTATGTATTTTCTTGAATACTTAGATCTATTTCTCCTGCTTATGTGTGCCGAATAAATATGGAAAGTTCCGACGCCCTAGAGATGATAAGCCTTAGGAACGTCTGTTTTCAATCTATCTCAAATAAGTTCCCTTACAATATCCAGTTAATAGGACGCATAAGCAAAACAGATTTTGACTGTGAGATGAAAAATTAGTGCTTTCGTTATGTGGTGTGCATGTGTGAGACAAACCATAAACATTGTATATTCATCTTGCTGAGTAACAGTGGAATCCAGGAAGCGCATTTCGTCCTATCTGTGACTCGTCAGCTGGATATACCTGCACCCTAGTGAGTGATGCTCCCACTGAGACTTAAACCAAGCACTCATTGCTTCCAACACCAATGCGTTATCCCCTAGGCCACTAGAAAAAGACACCCATATCACTCACTAGGGTGCAGGTTCATTCAGCTGACGAGTCCCAAATAGGACGAAACGCGCTTCTTGGATTCCACTGCTAATCCCCAAGATGAACATGACATATTATGAATATCCGGCAGGGACGAGGTATCCGCATAGGAGCCCATCTGCCAGAAAAGGTCAAGCAACTCGACCCTGTATATCAACGGGAAATTGCAAGTATCAAAACAACATAAACATTCTAAGTCGTTGAGGAGCTGAATTCGCACTTACCAAAGTAACCTACTTTACCCTTTTATAAGGACATTCCACTTGTACCATTTCTGTAACTAGAAACCTAATATGTTAATATACCGGTTACGAGCCAGTTCATAAGCATCACGTGGAATGGCACACTGACTAATAAACGTGGATCAACTAGATTGCAAACATAGGAATCAAAATACCAGGTCACAAGAAATAATAATTAGGCGAACAGAAGAATACTTGTGCACATCGATCGCTTTCTAGATAGTGACTAATGTTACGTCTAGTTTTGAGGGGTGAGTGATCTTGTCAACAACACTGTGCAACATGTATATCAAAGCATTTAGCTGCAGTTGGTACAACTTGGTGATTAAATAAGACGACAATGTGACTTGAATTACTTGTCAGACACCAATCGACGTATCTCAGCTACTCTCACACCAAGTCGATCACGGTTCAAATAGCTGAATAATAAAATCTCTGATTATAATAACTGACAACGTGTCTTCGAATTCTAGGTGAAAACTTTCAGTTTTGAAGAGAAAACCAGTTAAAATAACGAACTTTAGTATTTAATTTCTGTTAACCGACAAAACAGACTACAACTGAATATAAGCTTTAAAGAAAATGTGATTTCGTAGTAAGATGCTCGTTTATGGATACTAATATCAATGGAATACAGGAACTAGTTAATAAACCTGTTTATTCTCACATTCCTACGGTGAATAGAACTACTGCCTTGTGCATTCTGTCTTTAGATTCATCGACTCGAATTAAGTGAATTAGCAACACCTTAAGACCGGAACAGGGAACAAGTACTAATTCTTTGAAGGTTGTAGTTATCACTTGATGATAATCGTCAATTAGCATAAAAATAATTTTGGGTTTTCTGGCAATTTAGTTCAAACCTATAAAATATATGAAGAGAGCCATAGCGCAACAGCGCAAAGCACTCATGCCTTAACATAGTGCTAAACATGTAACACTGAACTCTTTCAGACCTCTTGTGCGTAGGAAAAAATTAGTTTCTAAGTCTTCAAATAATACTGGCTTTTTATTTTTGGACTATGAAAATATAAACAATAAATTCAAACGCTTTATGACAATAAAATCCTTAAACACTTACTAAGTAGTTGGCTATTTCCCACTTTCGCAATTTCAATGCAATCCAGAGAGGATGTACGAATGTTCGAAAGTTATTTTCGATGAAAAACCTTTGAAATACAGTAATACAATAAGTAGATAAACGATGTGAGAAAAGTTGAGATGAAAAGATTTCAAAATAACCGTAGCTGTATTTCTTAATGAATGAAAAACAAGGCTCCTTTTACCAACATATCACACAGAATGCTGATGAAGAAGCGATGAAATGCACTCAGCAGTCTTGCACGTATTCATGCAGTAGGCGGTGAATCACACCCATTGCGCGAGGTCTAATGATACTATTTGACTATCCGAACTTCGTTAGGTGAATCGGGGCTCGAACCTGTGGCCCAGTGGTTGAAAGTGCTACTAGTTTTATCAAATACGAAAATAATGGATATTACTTATCCAATTTCCAAAACTTTTCTAAACCCTCATATCTCAACTTGATTTGAATATCTACAGGCAGAAAAGCTTCCGATTTATGTGAGGTAATTATTATTGTACTCAGTGTTTACCCGTTCATTGACAAAAGATGGCTGAATTTCAATATGCCAAACAATTCTGACTTGATCACTTTTGAATTATAATTGCAAATGTGAAAACTAAGAGTGACACCAAACAAATCTGTTATATTTAACCTTCAGCGAAAATAAGAGTAGAAAGTAGCAGCCAACCACTGTTATTAAGTGGACGCACTCCATTGTCTGATAACGTGGCATGTATTCAAATTACCCTACACGTGTCAAGGCGTGAGAATCCAGGTAGAATCACTAACCCTTATATTATAGTGTGCTCTTTGTCTACTGCATGAACGAGTTCCATCTCATTTTTTGTCACTACATAAAAGAGTTTGGATACATGACCAAAGCCTGCAGATTAAATATAAACTTTTTGTTCACTTACTGAGAGGTACTTTAAAGGCCACCCTAGCAACAACTGAAATAACCAATTAGGTCTCTGTATTTTGGCTCGAAAGCCAGTTTCTCATAGAATAGAGAAAAGTAATTGGTTATCTTGGTAGTTGCTAGGGTGACATTTAAAGTCACTCCACCTACATATGATCAGTAAAGTAAAAGCAAGCCGTCGAAAAGGATTTCAATTATATCTGTGAATAACAAAAGCGATCGCTAAGTCCAGTAGTATGCTGAAATTTATGTGCCCAAACGTCTTATCAAGTCCTTTTTTCTGCCATTATAGTGGGCGCTTCTGATCCGAATAGATATAAGTAGTATACGTTGAGAAGCCGGCAGAAATCATAGGCAATTATCAGCATTGGATAAAGATTATGCCAAGAGAAACACAAGAGACAATGTGGCGCATTAAGAGCAAACCAAGATAGAAGCAGAAGAGAAAATGAAGCACATTTGCAAATGACTGTCTTAGTGGAAAGTGTACAATATTTCATCACAACTGTACAAGATGTCAGTAATCAACATTCCTTCCCGCGTCTGTCTTATCGTCTCCTACAATTGGTGTCACTGCTTCTGGACGTGATGAAGACTCCGTGGCCTGCAGAGTTCGAGGATGGAGACATCAAAGTCTCTCCCAGAGACTTCGAGTCGGTGGCGGAGCTGGTCGGTGTCCGGGATTCAGGAGCGAAGGTCGTGGTGCTTGTCACGTTGTTGAGATGTCGAGCAAAAGCGGCATATGATGGCGTGGAACGTGCGGACGGGAAGAAGACTTGGCAGAGAATGGTTGAACGACTGGAGGCAGAGTTTGACAGTTCAGTGGACAGGGAGCTGGCGATACAGCAGTTCCGGAGCACGAAAATTGGAATAGACGAAGATCCGCTGGTACTGGTCGTGAAGTTGAAGAAACCACTTCGACGAGCACTTCTCACGTTGGATGAGGACTCTCAGGCACAGTTGTTGACTGCACAGTTCACCGAAAGTGTCCCGAATGCCATCGCCCAGCAACTACGACTAGTCAACGCAGACAACCCATGGGTATTAGTGAGTTGGTCAAGGTCACCAGACAGCTGATGGGTAAAGCAGTAGCTGCAGTGGAGTCGCCAGGGATAAATAAGCCGAAAAAGCAAATTGATAACCTTTAGGAGGAGGTGGTTGTACTTCGGATGAATATCAAACAGACACAGTAAATGCTTTGCATGAGGAAAACTGGGACACTGGCGAAGAAACTGTCCGGAGAGGCGAAAAAGAAAACGTTTTGAACGATATAAGTTCTGTTTTCCCGACTAGACTAGATGTCGTAGGAGCCATAGGTAGAGGTGCTGTGTGTGCTAGAATGTGAATAAAATAATCGGGAGATCGTGTGTCTAATAGATACAAGGACGGCAGTCTCGCTAATAGATAAGAGCCAGTCTCAGAACATGACCATGTGCGCTAACGGTCCATACGGTTGGGGGACATACATCAGAAATCGCAAGCTTATCAGATTGCGTCGTCGAAATCGGAAGTCGGAAAATTAGATTTCCATTCATTGTGACCACGCGTCTACAACGGACAATCCTAGGCCCTGACTTTATGAGAGAAGTGGGTGCAGTTATTAACACCAGAACAGAAATAGTGGCGACAAAGTACGAGTCTTTCACCACGTAGAGATTGAGGTATCAAAAGAGCCATACCCAGAAGCGCCAAATATCATGAAGTTGGTTAAGAAATACGACAGATTGTTCATGGGAGATGGAGACCCCTACGGATACTGTGACAAGGTTCAGTATGAAACCCCAGTGGCAAGTTAAGAAGTGACGACATTTATAACACGGCGAATACCATATCACTTAGAAGGTGGGCACCAGGTTCAGGAAATGCTGAATGGAGGCATTATTGAAAAGTCTGAAAACCCATACAGTTTGCCAGTGCTTTTAGTACGAAAGTCCAATGGGAAATATAGATTCTGCGTTGATTTCCGAGAGTTAAATATCATAACACAACTGAAGCCGTGTGTCATGTGGACGGTAACTGAAACACTGGGTTGTCTGCAGAATGCAAAAGTATTTGTAGTTCTGGAACTCCGCTTAGGCTACTGGCAGCTAGCAATAAAAGAAAGAGATGATTTCTGCCACTTTCTCAATATATACAACTTATATCCACTCTGATCAACAGTATCCACTACACCATGACCTTAGGTTTTCGACTTTTTGATGCCGATAATAATTTTCTATGTGCCTTGCCTTCATCCCCTTCTGAAAGACCTTAATTTTCAAAATTGAATTCTTCTTTTTCCCTCGAGCATAATATTCCTACATCAACCTTAACTTTAAGAAAGCACTTCTGAACCCGATTCACCAATTATACTATGCAAGAATAACTTGGTATTTCTTACAGTATACTTCTCTTGGTCTTCTGATTAATGTTTGAGTCAATTGTGCTAGTAACTGCGTTAGCCTAATCACCTCGTATCAGTATCTCTCGACAATTGTTGAACCACTAACACTCTTCCTATCTACTACTTTGTAGTGATGACCACCTACTATTGCCAAGCACAGACTTCAAACACGAGCTGATTTGCTGCTTCACAGGGAGTAGGAAATATATTGTACGACGTAACAGTTGAAGGTAAAACAAAAACGTGATTCATGGAAGGTCTCGAACCAGCGACCTTTATTATAGAGTTGCATCTGTCTTAGGTATAGCACAACGATAATACGAGAAATAATACCGTTGTATCCTTCATATGTGTGTCTTTGTTCTCCATCTTTCACATTCAGAGTTGACTGCCTATGCTTTAAAGCCTTGTACACTTCCCTTGTATTTTGCTAAATACAAATAATAGTCCACTGCATGGATTTGACATCCAAACTCGAGTAACTTTAGAGGACACCCTAGTAACGGCTGAAATGATCAATTACATTTCTTTATTCCTACCAAAACGGTAGTTTTTTTCTTAAAATACAGAATTATAATTGGTCACTTCAGCAGTTGTTAGGGTGGCCTTAGAATCATTCCTAAATTTACCTACTCACACTCAATCAGTGAGACGGTAGCGGCTGTATTATCTCAACTCTCACTTATTAACTCAGGCATCTCCTTCACCTTATCCATTTAAAGAGAAATACATTATAGTACCACTATACTGGCCAGATGTATATTAAGTATATTTTTAATGACAAGTTTACACAGTGATAAGTTTTTGTTTTGTTAATAGTTCGAGCAAAACTTGTGCCCGTGATCACACCGACACTTGGAATGTTTTAAATATTTATTTACACATCTATTGATAGATGTCACATATACTGGTTAAACATTCATAATATTCACTATAGCATTAAATTAAACAATTAAACGCAAAAGTGAAAATGATACAAAATATAGTTAAGCCTAATGCAATCTGAATTTTATTGAAAAGTTAATGAAAACTAAAGGAGTTTACTTCTCATCAATATCAGCGCCTTGACTGATCAAAAACTTTACCACTTCTAATTGGCCACGTTCAATAGCTTCAATTAACAGAGATTTATTGCATTTTGACGATATAAGATTTCGAAACCAATTTATACCTTCATCTGATTTACGAAAACTTAAGTTATGATTACAATCTGATATATTTTTTGATTGACTATACATATATTCCAATACTTGGTAATCAGTTGAAATTCTTCTGACCACAGGAGTAAACTGAAAACTGATTCACCGGACTCATTTAATAACGACCAATCTACATCACCTGAATTTAATAAGTGTGAGTTAACAAACACTAAAACATTTTCAAGCATCAATGAAATAAGTTACTGAAAACAGATTAAACATGTCAATATTTCGTGTAACAACTTCATCTCCTTCAGATTTAATTTGCTAGGTGGTAGCTAGTAATCAAATTCAGAACGTGTGCTTCAACTTATTTAGGACTTATCAGAGAAAATATGATTGCTTAACGGGATGCAGACATATCTCACTGACGAGTTTCAAACAGGACGAAGCCTGCTTACCATAATTTCCTGCTAGTCATATCCCACTATAGTAAAAATAGGGGCGATATCAATGCATCCTTTGAAGAAGCCCATATGTTACCAAAGACCCATCGATTTGGTCCAGTAGAATATTCAACGGTTCATCATAAATTTCCCTTACACTACTCTCGCTTTAATGGCTAAAACAAAAACCAGGAAAACAAAATCAATATAGGACCTCAAATTACTGCGTAAAGGTTTAAAAGTTGCCACACCTCACATCAGCACATCAAGCGAGAATACACTAAGACAATATTGTTAACCTTGACAAATTCAAGTGCATAGCTTAGTATACGGTTGCTCAGACTAATTCACTTCATTCTGCTTCTTATCAAGACGACTCAATTATTACATTTTGTTTGCTGGACGCATACACACGGAATCCCAACGACTAATACATTTCAGCCATAGTGCTGTCATTTTTATGCATTTATTCCCTTCAATTATTATCACAACAGGAAAACGACAATTGACACACTATACTTGAATGATAAACTCAGAAATCGTCAACACACTAGAAGAAAATAGCAAATAAAACTAGATAAGCAGGTTTTAGAATGTTACTTTGTACTCGACATTTAGAGTGCATCCTCATAGACTGCTGTTGAAAGATAAATTTAATCCAATAGAAGGACAAAATGACACGTTCGAGAATTCGTCAAAAATTCTGATATGAAAAGAACGCGATTTTTATCCGCAACGAACTACTTCTTTTCAATAGCTTTATCACCAAGCTTTACAGTCGGGTTTAAAATGGGTAAAATGTCAGATAGGTACACCAAACGTTGATCCGTCAAAGTATTGTTATGATCGGCGGTATATATAACGATATAATGCTTCGACGTGATACAATTAACGAAATAACAATGAATTTTCAACACGATGTTCAGCTGACACAAGAAGTAGAAGACAATGGGATTGAAAGTATATTTGATTCAACCGAATAAGTCCTTATAGTTGAGAATTCAGTCGTTTATTTATCCTTGAATGGCATTGGCCAGGGAAAACAAAATACTCTATTAAAAGTGTATAATGAATCAATCAACCTTCAGTGTCCTAAACCGCGATAAAAACAAGTAACATTGCACGGACTAAAAAGGGCGCAAAAATAAGGTTTAAATCGTACAATGATAATACATACATGTTATAAGCTAGTTTTTCTTAGGGATTAGACATCCCTAATATGTCCACATGACAGAATGATGGTAGTAGGGTGAGATTGGTTCAAGCGAATGAAATAGAAAAGTAGACGTTAAAAAACGAAGAATTGATTTCAAGAGGTGAAATAAGGGTGAAATGCTGTCAAAGACGATATTGATGATAAATAAATTGAAATATGCAAACAAACAAAAATGAACTATAAGGACAAAGACAGATATAAAAGTTTTATGTAGCGCTTTCGAATGCATAATTTCACTTTTGATCATGCATAGCTAGTGCTTCAGTGACGCATTAGTTATGCAAACACAGACCTGTGGAGTAGTTCACTTTAGTTTGATAAATTATCTCAAAAGATGAACCTCGAGGAGCTGAACGACTTAACTCGATCAGATTTTCAAATATGAATGAAGTTGTTGCTCTTCGCCTGCATAAGATTAACATTAGCAGATAACGTCTAACAAGGCAATTCTGGAGGACCTGCTTACAACGTTCAATATAGTCAGCTCCATAGGACCATGCAAATCTACAGATAAACATACATGTGGACATTAGCGCAAAATTTTCTTTCACGTATTGTTGAATCAAACGATAACTCGAAAACATCAGTTGCGGGTTACCAGAATTGGTATCCTTAATACACTTCAACAGACAACTCTTTAATACTTCAGCTGAAGCATCCTCTTTGATTTTCAAATTCGTAATTATAATTTTCTTTGGAACTGGATTACGAGGAGAGGTAATTTGTTTCACAAAGTTTTTATCAATAAGTCTTCTGGGGTATCTATTATTCAACAATGTTGTTTTAAAAGTTTCAATTCCATCATTCATCGTGTCTTCGGAGCACATTTTATGGAACATAGCTAGAGAATGAGAGATATCCAACCATTAAGGATGATGACAGTTGAAGATGGATGGCATAAAGGAGTTAAGGTTTTTCATAATATATCCTCGTAGTACTCTTAGAATGTGTTTAGACCAACGAGTGAGCAATGTTCACGGTAAGTATAAAGTGTCAGATAAGAAAAAGTAATCAATCAAGTTTTGAAACGACAGTAATTGAAGTAGTTGAGTAATGAGCTAAATACAACAACCTAGCATCTACCCCAAATATTGTTACCTGGAGTAGGATTAGGTTAGTGGAAAACTGAGTGGCTAGATCAATACATGGCACCAATTCACTATGTCAGCCTCGCCTGGTTAACTAGTTCACTAGTTACTAGCCGGTCCTAAGCCCCCATAAAGAGGGAAGGTTGGGCATACGGCTAGCGACCCTACCCCGTAAAACCAATCCAACCGCTAAATAAATTTCAAAGCACAAACAAATTATGAAAAATAAAAACAACCTTTTTCCTCGCTCGAATCGGAGAGACGAAATGACGCTAGTTGCTAAAAGCCTTCGGGAAGCCAATTGGCCGATGTGTCATCTCTAGATGAAAGCGAAAGTAAACATGGGGACATATAATGTCCACACCATGTATGAACCTAGCTGGAAAAGCCGCCCAGATTGCAAACGGAATCAGAAGGTATGGCATGGAAGTGCTAGGAATCTGCAAAAGCAGATGGAATGGAAATGGACTATCCAAACAGTTAACTGGAGAGTCAATAATCTAGTATGAAGTGGGCTGTCAATATCTCTCCGTGAGTGATTTAGTAGCTTGCTCTGACGATGTGGTCTGTGATTAGTTGTTTCCTTCGGTTGTTGTGTCATTGATTGTATAGACTTTCCTGTTGGCTATTCCTCTGCTTCACCTCTGACCTTTCTGTCGTTTATCATTTTCCTTATTGGTTGATAGATCGGGTCTATGTCCATACATATATTGATTGCTGACTGACCTGAATGCCAAGCTTCTAGAAATTCTCTGATATTCTTTGTGTTTCCTCTGTCCAAAATTTCTACATTGTTGAAATTGAATTCATGTCCATAATTATCCACGTGCATTGAAATGAGTGACGAAATGTCGTGGCGTTTAATAGCCAATTGCTGCTCATGTAGACGAAGGCGAAGAGGGCGGTCGCTTTGTCCAATGTAGTGCTGACTAAAGTTATTGCAGTTGATTTTGTAAATGATATTCGGTTTGTTTTCTTTGCTTGTTGAATTCTTTGGTCTGCATAATAGTGTTTGGAGGGAATTTGATGGTTTATGAGCCACACCAATTCCAATGCACGTGGATAATTACGGACATGAATTCAATTTCAACAATGTAGAAATTTTGGACAGAGGAAACACAAAGAATATCAGAGAATTTCTAGAAGCTTGGCATTCAGGTCAGTCAGCAATCAATAGATGTATGGACATAGACCCGATCTATCAACCAATAAGGAAAATGATAAACGACAGAAAGGTCAGAGGTGAAGCAGAGGAACAGCCAACAGGAAAGTCTATACAATCAATGACACAACAACCGAAGGAAACAACTAATCACAGACCACATCGTCAGAGCAAGCTACTAAATCACTCACGGAGAGATATTGACAGCTCACTTCATACTGAAGTTAGTGCTGATGATGTCGTCTAGCAAGGCGATAAAAGCTTCACGATTAAACAACCCAGCTCAGAGAACACAATACAACCAAGACCATCCACCTGAGCTACAAATATTCTCCATCATTTCAAGTCAATAATCTACCCCATTTCTGTCACCCAGACGAAAACCACCAGCACACTGAGTTTTCGAGTGCCTATCATGATGTTCCTAAGAGCATCGAGGGCTCTCATGCAGTGAGAACCAATCTCCTCCAGGATCATGACAGCAAGATTCAACTCAGAAGGAGGGAAAGTCACAATCATACAATGTCACGCTATGCACCTACAAATAATGTAGACGCAGAACAAGAGAACAAGGAGGAATTTTACAGACAACTGCAATCAGCGCTGGACAAGACCTCAGTTGGCGACATCAAAATTCTAATGGGCGACATGAATGCCAAACTCGGAGCGTACAACACAGAAAGAGAACTGATCGTCAGTCGAGAAGCGTTCGGTGAAATGGACCAGAGTGGAGAACTGTTTGCAGATTTCTGTGCATTCAAAGATTTGGTGATTGGAGGTGAGGCAGTATGTACAAACACAACGATATTCACAAAGCGACATGGATTTCGCCACATGGACACACTAAAATCAGATCGACGTCATCTCAATCTCAAGAAAGTGGAGATAGAGACACAGCACACTTGACACAAGGTCAAGAAGAGGAGCAGATGTAGGTTCAGACCACTCACCATTTAGTGCAAGGAACCTTCCAAATCAAGTTAAAAACATTCAGGGAAGTTAGTGATAGACCAGAGTTCAAGTTGAACACCTAGAACAGAAACTGAACTGAAGGACGAAACCACCAGGGAGATCTTCACGTCAGCCAGCCATCAAGACAAAATGGGAGATACCAAACAACATCCCTGAAGAAACCTGTGTCAATGAGCACTGGGACTCTTTGAAAGCTATGTGGAAAGAAACCTGCATAACTGTCTTAGGAAGGAAGAAGAATGAAGATAAGAAATGGATCTCGACGGACACATGGTAGCTGATAGAGCAGGGAGAGGACAATGGTGATGGTGAAGCAGAAGATGAACCAGTGCAAGGACGAATGACTAGAGGAGGAACTTAGTACAACTTATAAGACACTGGACAAAGAGGTGAAGAGGAGTGCACGCAAGGACAAGTGAAGCAGAACAGGCTGCAGGTAGGAGAGACCTGACATTATATCGAATAACCAGGTTACCATCTGGGAAGATATCCAAACAGATGAAACCAACAAAAGATGATGAAGGAAATCTTATTACCAAAGAAGAAAAACAAAGGAAACGATGGGCTGACCACTTCGAAAAGCTCTTGAATAGACCATGACCTGCACATCTTCCGAAAATACCATCTGCAGCCCAGCCACAGAACTACCAGTGAACACAAGCCCTCCGACGAAATTGGAAGTCCTGAACGACATAAAGCTACTGAAATGCGGGAAAGCAGCAGGGCCAGATGGAATCCCTCCGGAAGCACTGACAACAGACGCAGGGACAACAGCGGACATGCTCACACCACTATTGCAGAACGTCTGAAAGGGAGGGAAGGTACCTGGCGATAGGAAGAAGGGCTACCTTGTCAAACTCCCGAAGAAGGATAACCTAAGTCTGTGTAAGAACTGGCGTGGAATCGTGCAAGCAAAATATTAGGCCGCATCATCCTGGAGGGACTAAAGGATGCACTGGATTCAAAACTATGACCAGAACAGGCTGGCTGGATTCAGGAAGTACAAATCATATTAGGACCAAATTACAACGCTACAATAAGCATCATCATCGAACACAGTATAGAATGGCAGTCAATCCTCTACCTCAACTTCATTCACTTTGAAAAGGCCTTCGACAGCGTCAACCGAGAAGTAATTTGGAAACTGCTTCAACACTACGGAATACCACAAACCACTATCAACCTCATTCAACAATTATATGAAGACGCCACATGCCAAGTAATTCACAATGGGAAGCTCAGTGATGCTTTTGGAGTGAAGTGAAGACAGGAAGGAGTAAGACAATGTTGCTGTCTACTATCACCCATGATCTTCCTGATTGTAATGGACTGGATCATGCAACAAACAGTGAGGAGCGAGAAGAGGGAGATACGCTGGACCGGGGGAAATTGCTTAGACGATTTGGATTTCACCGCCGATGATGATTTATGTCTAATGTCGCACAAACTCGAAGATCTATAGGCGAAAACTAACAAGTTGACAGAAGAGGCAGGGAAGACGGGACTTCAGGTGAATGTCGAGAAGATAGAGGTGATGAAGATACCAACCAACAACAAGATCGACAAGAAGCACCAATCACCATCAATGGGAGGAACTTGAAGGAAGTAGCCTCTCTCACGTATCTAGGCAGCACTGATTCAACTACAGGCAACACAGGCACAGATGGGGACTTCAAAGTCAGGATCGGAAAGACAGCAAGACAGGCGTTCATTAACCTGAAACCAGTGTGGAGATCTGTACTCCACTGCATTCAGCATGAAGCGTGAACAACATCCGGATTTTCAACATGAATGTCAAATGAGTGCTTCTGTGTGATGGTTCAGAGACTTGGTGGCTCGTTGCGAAAAGCATTTCCAACAAACTACAGACATTCATCAACAACTGCTTGCTCTGGCTCGTTACTGAAGCTCAGATGGCCAGAATGAGAATAAGCAACAAGGAACTCTGGGAACGAACCAACCAAGAACCTATCACTCAACAAATATGCAGAAGGAAGTGGAGATGGATTGGGCATACATTGAGACGGCCGATTGGGGACATCACGCGCCAGGCCCTTGAGCGGAACCCAGATGGGAAGCGACGACTTGGGCCTCCAAGGATGACATGGAGGAGATCGTGTGAGGAAGAAATGAAAGCTTCTGGGCTGTCGTGGAGCCAGGTTCGAAAGATTGCAGAGAAAAGAGTGCACTGGAGACGTGCTACTGAAGCCCTATGTTCCACTAAGAACCCATGGGACAAATAATAATAATTCACTATGTCAGTAATTGTTGGTTTGAGTTAATTAGGGTAGTCCAAGCTATCTGGCTAAGATTATGTAGATGTTAGGAATAAACGGTTGTGGAATAACAATGGAATGGTGTCAAAACAGATCATGACAACGCAAATATACTCACTTCTTAAAATCAAATTTCTGAACAACATATTAACCCTCATTATTTGTTCTCCCCCGCTTCTTTCCTTCTTGTTAATTTAATGATCATTCTATTTCCGTTTATTCCTTTATTCTATTGTGCGGGATGGAACTTGAATCATCTCATATTCACCTTGGTGACCAAGAGTGGAATCCAAGATGTGCGTTTCCTCCTATTCAAAACTCGTCGGCTGGACGTACCTGTATCACAGTGAGTGTTGTCCCCACTGAGACTCGAACTCAGTACCTATAGCTTCAAATGCCAAAGCGTTATCCACTAGGCCCTGCATAGCGACGGGAAATTCTGTGTATCAAACAATAACCAAATTATTTCACTTTTGTGCACTGTTTGATCAATGCATTTTATGATTAAGTCGTTTTCATTTGTTCTGTGTGCAGAGTACAATCTATGATATCAGTATCCATGATAGGCAACAGGTACTGTGATGATGAATAGATAGTAGGAACTTAAGATCAGGAAAGATAAAATAAATGATCATGTGAATGTGTAAGTGAACTGCAAAACTGTGTGCAGTATTTCTGCAACTATTAAATTTTCATTTTAAATATCTGCACCTACAATTCTGCCATTTAATAGAAAGATTAGAAATCTTTCTCTTCAATTGCTTAACTTTAACTTTTAAGTAGTAGCCACAAAACTGTCCGTCAGAATCAAAATGAATAGGACTGCTATGTGACTTACACAAAAGTCATATTATGTAGTGCTCTAAACATAATAAAAAAGACGAACAGAACAAATATTTACTGCTTTAGACAACGATATGATTGATAAGACTGAGATAATCACCTGCGAAATAAGCTCAGTCTAACACACTCCTTAGCCTTTTGCTTAGAAGATATCTCTGCTCGACATTAACTAATTTTTTGATTGCCTATTCCGAAAGCCTATGTAGATCCTGACTATTTCGATTTTCGATGATAACTGAATAAGCAGTAAGACAGAAAGATTATTAGGGTGATAAAAAAAAAGTGACCAACATAAACAATTATCTACCAGTAAGGACAGATCAAAAATTGAGTTCATGAGATTTCAGGAGTCAAAGATTGGACGTTAAGGATGGTTCGAATTTGATCATAATGATTAAGATGAATTCATTCTTAGCCTTGAGTAACCTATACCTACTAAGTGACCGTCGTATTTCACCGCGGAATATACCAGTTACAACCAACTAGTTAACTACTGTCACATTCAGCACACAAAAAAGCAAAGCTGTGTGGATTGAAAGTCAAACACAAATAAGCTCGACAAATTATACATATACATATGCATGTATAAAAGTGGAAAAGAGACTATAAATAATGATCTTAAGACAAACCTTTTTCTTGTAGGTAAAACTTAACAAGTTCAAACATTTTATGTTTGACTGCTAAGTGTAAAGGACTACAGTACAACTGTTGTGTGAATTCAGTATTATCAATAATTACACTGGATGATGGAGTCGTTGGTGAAAATTGTTGGGAAGTAATTGTAGGGTTACTGATTCCATGTGAAGAATTCGAATGACAAATATTATCGACAGAATTACTAGCAACATCAGGATCAATGTTACTATCATAGTCATCATCGAAGGGATTCAGTGACTTTACAATTTTAGATCCGCTGACTTTTTCCAAACATGTGACTTTCTTGGAGATCTGCAACATATTTCATAAAAAAGAAGACAAAAATACTAAGTATTTACACATCAGTTTTTTGTGTGAAAAGAAATAATACAACAAAACCATTTTTTCCACTTCACAAGGAGATTGTAGAGTCAGATACGAAAAGGAAGAATGCGTACAGTTCAATGTGGAATATTTTTCTACCAATTTACTTCCTATGTATAGTAATGATGGGCAGTGACTAGCAGTGGAATCCAGGATGCGCATTTCGTTCTGTTTGGGACTCGTCAGCTGCATGTACCTGCCTCCCAGTGAGTGATGTTGTCTCCACCGGGAGTCGGGAGCGATCGCTTCAAACGCCAGAGCGTTATCCACTACACCACTGAGCCACGATAGCCACTTCTTGTGCGACGGGTATAGGTTTGGTGTTATTGCTTGCATTACACTGTCGTTGATTGGACCGAATTGATCAGTCTCTGTTGGTATATGGGCTCCTATGCGGATGCCTTGATATTGCCCGTCTTTTAACTATACATATTAATGACGGGCAGTGGCTAGCAGTGGAATCCAGGATGAGCTGGGAGGCAGGTACATCCAGCTGACGAGTCTTAAATAGGACGAAACGCGCATCCTGGATTCCACTGCTAGCCACTGCCCATCGTTACTATACATAGTTAAAAGACAGGCAATATCGAGGCATCCGCATAGGAGCCCATATACCAACAGAGACTGATCAATTCGGTCCAATCAACGACAGTGTAATACAAGCAATAACACTAAATTTATTTCCTAGTTAAATGTATCACATTCGGTGTGGGAAGATCCGAATATAAACTTACTGACCAAGCTAGATATTGTTAGAGGATTTATCACTTCGTATTCTGCCCGGACAACTAGCGTCCAGCGGATTATGAGCAACCACGTGGCCTCGTTATCACTAACGTAACATATATTTCTGTGCAAATGTTTCTCAGTGGCCTAGTGTCTAGACTACATTATAAGTATCAATCTGTACGCTGACACTTATTTAAGTACAACAGCATAACTTAAAATTAAAAATAGCTACAGCTATCGTACGTTGAGCAATAAATATCAGATGTTAGTGAAACAAACTACGTTCCCATCTTCATCTGATGAATCGAAAATTTCGAATAATGTGGATAAGTGAATTAGTTCTATCTGGAGGTTTGTGGAGGCTTATTAACTGATTTTAGGTTGGAATTCATCATGGACTGACATCAGTTAGAGGTACATTCGGAACCTGGGAGCACTAGACAGCTGTTTCGTCCTAGTATGGAACTCTAGCAGTGCGCACCCATGACCCCACCCTCCAGGGATCGAACCCAGGACCTTCAGGTTCCGTAGATGTAGGTTGCGCTAGACCATGAATTGACAAAAGTTAGCATTAAAAACGACTGGATTCCGACCCAGTGGCTCAGTGGTAGCATGCTGGCCACGGAACTTGAATATCCTGGGATCGATTCCTGGGGTTGGAGTCATGGGTGCGCACTGATGGGGAGTCCTATACTAGGACGAAACAGCTGTCTAGTGCTCCCAGGTTTCCAGTGTTCCTTCAACTGATGTCAGTTCATGATGAAGTCCAACCTAAAATCAACTAGTTGTTGTGACTGATACAGCTTAACCAGCAATACAGTGGAGAAACCTACCATTAAACCATACAACAAACAAAATAACCCTACTAAAAGATCATTCCCTTAAAGCTATCAACATTTATTGTGGTTGTTAGTAGTTTACAACAGCTTACACATTCCACTGCTAAGTGTAACGAAATAGTATCTATTTTAGACTGCGTACTTTAGTTTCGGAGCACTTTTTAGATCACAAAACAAGATCACGTATTCGATCTGGCAACACTTATTACGACAGGTACGGTGGTTGAGGACAAAACCACTTGATAATGGTCTCAAATGCATTTGCTTCATCCAATACCAATTCAAAGACAATGGAAGTGCAAACAATTATGGAAGATCAAGTGGTACCATTACCGAAATATTTATACAAAAGTCTAAGTACGTTATTATTCACAAATATCTGAGGATCACGGTGAATGCATATTTCAAAAAACCATTTCCATACGAATCGACAAAGAGAGAGGTGCTTTCACAACACTGTAAATAAACTTTATTTCTGCTGAACCAAAATATGAAAAATCGAAGATACACCTACTTCACAGTCTTCATTTAGTACAACAACTTGGGAATAACGTAAACGATTAGGATCAATTTCTTTCCTAACAACCAAACGATTACAGAGTTCAAAAGTTCAGCTTCTACGGCAACATGAAAAACTGTTTCTCCCTGAGTAAATGTTGACTCCAAAGTAGGATCACATTGTGGATGATCAAGAAGAAATAAAGCCGCTGATTCCCATCCAATTCGTGCAGCAGCCATAAGCAAAGTATCACCTGGAAGTGGCACCTTCGAAGACATTGAACTCTTCAAACTCGAAAGACAAACATCAGTGAATCTATAGTTCACATTGGCGCCATTTTCAATTAATAGACTGGCAAAATCGCACGAATGAGTTGCTAGGTCGTCGGCTGAAAACAATGTGCAAGAAGTTACTTTTATAAATGACACAGAACAAATAGAGCGAACGAAAATATATTACCGGAACCCAAAACATTCGAAAATATTGGTTTTTGTATCTAATACGTACAAGACCAAAATTTGTCCCTTCTATTGGATTAGTATAACGTCTTCCTGTTCAAAGATCAGTAAGTACGTTCAAAAGACTTTCAGAAGCTGAGGCATTATTCGTACAGCATAAAATACCCAATATTTGCTACACAAAATAATTAAATTATTCCTCTATATTTTCCTTTAAGTACTCCAACTTCAAAGGACAACTTTATAAAGAAAACGTTATATAAACCGACCTTGTTCAAGATAAAAAGTCAACAGGACTAGGAACAAATCATATGGAGTATTTGGAGTAAAACTTAGAATAACGAACTATTGATTCAAGACGGTACGCAACGGAAACTATGAAAGTCTTAGAAAAATCTCTTGTGAAGTAAGATTTATTACTTTCAGAAGAACCCAGAAATGGATTATAAAAATAAGAAGTTTGATGAATTGGTGAAAGAATACATTGATGAAGAAAATAGTAGTGCTACTAAGATATCATCTTCCACTGATAGAACAAAGTGAGTAATCAATTTCTCGACTATAGCTTTTACCTTAAACAACAAAAAGATACTAAACTTCAGTATACTTGTGGATCAACTAAACATCACATATTTCATCTTTGGTAAACAAGTGGGAACCAAACTAATAAATTAGGGGACTACTGAACAGCTCCTAGTAGAATGCACACTAAGAAAGCGGCGAAATGAAATAATAGAGCGTGAAAAATAAGATAATTTACAAAAGCACAGTAACTACTGAATTCAATGAAAGGTAACTTGATAGCAAATACAGACAAGTCATATTATTTAAAGGAAGTCGCTGAGCATATTTAACCCAGTAAATATGTGCACTATTAAACAAACAAACAACTATGGTGAAGATCCCTTTACCGAAAACATCTGATTAACGTTAATTGCAAATACAGCTAAAAGCATAAAACCTTCTCCTAACTCAAAATTACTTACATATTTGCTGACCTTATACACCTGTTTGATACAAACTCGTTATAATATGACCGCCAAAAAATGCGGTATTTCCCAAACTATGACATTATGCCAACAGATAAAGGAAAATTTATACAAACAACACCTTTCCAATAAACATCTCTTAAGTTTTGAATAACCTCATTAGTATCCCAATAGTCGATCAGAAAAGTTTCGGAACTCGCGAGTAATTTATGAGAAGATGAAGTACAATTTCGGCGACAACCTTTTTTACCTACTGCGTCACAAAATAGTAAAACCCTCTAGCGGGTTGGAGTCAAGTGCTGAAGAAAGATGTTTAAAACGGCTACATCCAATCAAGAAGGGTTGTATCAGTACACATCAACTGAAATCCATTTTCTGTTCAGCTTTATTTTTATCAAAGAGTTTCGAAAAAGAAGAGACACAGATAGATGATTAATCATATTACATCTGTACACAGCCAATTTTCAATGTCAAATAAAGAAAATCTTTCTGCAAGATCTGAGCAACCAAGCTTACTAGGTACCACTTTGTTAAAAACCATCAAATGATATAAAAGTTAGTTTAGAGTTCTATGTATCCACGATAACATTTATAAAAACTAAAAAGAAAAAACCCTGATAAAGTTGATACAAAAGGGCTGTGTGGTAGCATATCTTACATGGGTTAGCGTTATCTTACTGCCCATATCTTAATACGTAGATGGAAACATGAATCTATGATCCAACAGATGAAAGTTAAATAAATGTCTATACTACTGAGCCATAATCCGACATATATTATCAAACTACAACCAATATTCTCTTGCAAGAAACTGATTACTTTATTGTGAACTGCAACAAATGATAAAAGCAATGACAACGTACAGTGAAATCCATAAACACCTGGGCTGAATGAATCCCAAGGACTGAGCTGACTTACAAGCGCCAACCATAATGGACACAATCCTTGATTATTTGGTAAGTCTAAATCAGGCTTCTTGGCACAACTAAGCAGCAGCTTAAATATATCTGAGTTATTGTGCAAAATAGATAAATGTAGTGGTGAACTAAAAAAGGAAACAGTAAAAGCAAAAGTTTAAAATTATCATTGACAACATTACAGTGTATAAGGAGTACTCAGTTATGTTAGCAGGAAAAGCCTAAAGGTAAGAATCTAGATTTAAAACTGCGACTTTTTATTTTTTCTTTAGAACACTGAAAGCATTTCAGCAATACCCCAGACATGTCTCCTCAGAAATGAAGGTTCAAAGTTTCAGCATTAGTCGGGTTTGATATCAACGGCAAGTTTAAAAAACAATTTGTTGCCTTCCATCGCCACTAATTTTAAACGGCGGCCTCCCTGAACCTTAGGCTACCAACGAAACTTTCCACCGAACATACACATCAAATTTTTCTCCTTCGATTTGTTTTAATCATCATCATCACCAATTTATGTTATCTGAATGCATCATGTACTCTTGGACATTTATAAAATGTTTTCAGCCTGCCGTTTCTCGAGTTAACAACAAAACGGAAAAAAAATGTCACGTTATATTGAAGTGAAATTTTTAGTTCGCAAAAGTACATCATATTTCTATCCCTTGAATACTTATCTTGAGTTGCATATTCTTGTACTGCCCGAATGAACCATCACCACCGAACTTACGCCCGCACTAATGTTGATTCTTCACTGAAAACCGGACGCCAATCCACAATCAGCTGGCCATTTCACAATATTGGCTTGAATACTGTAATTAATAACATTACTTAGATGCCATAACCATTTCGTCTGAAAATATTGTTCTGGGAGTGACTTGTTAAAAAATTATATGCCGAGAATTCCATACTGCATTATACATATTGTTTGGATCAAAGTGATTATTATTACTAATGAGGAAATCCTTATCTTTAATAAGTCTCCCAAAACAAAGCGTTTAAGGAAAACTATGAGGAATACACTCAGTTAGTTCCCACTACAAAACTTACATAAAGTTAGGAAAAGTAGAGAATAGTGTATTCAGATCTCAGCTTACTTGATGGGATATCAAGTAAATTACATAGAAGCAAAAAATGTTTACTTATTGAGATAATTTGCAAAGTGACTTACTTTCCGTTTGTATCCTGACAAGAAATGTTAACGTCTTGTTTAAGTAACGTTTTTGCGATGTCAATAACAGAGTCAGACAGCTCTTTACAATCAGTTACTGCGAGTTTGTGGAGCAGTGTGCGAGATGATATTGGATCGCTGAAGTTGCACTTGATTACAAACAGAAAGGAAATAAGATTTTACTAACCTTACAACCACTACTACTAGTGGTAGTAGCAATGTAATTATTCAGAAGAAAACGTTCATACGATATTGAAACTTAGTTACGAAGGGTGTTTTAAATTAATATCAAACTGTTTTTGAATACGTACAAGAGGTCTAAACTTACATACAGCTAGAGCTTCAAAAACCTAAAGTATAATGCCTAGATGGGTTTGGAAGATGAATACAAATCAACCTTGTAACCGGTTCCAATGACATGTTTGGACGAAGTTGTATACATATTACTTGGACCAATGAGATTATTCAAATTCTTTCGTTTTTGCAGTCATTTTGAAATATGCTTTTTGGCAATTACTTGCATTGATCGACAAGTCCCTCCTACGTATGTTTGACCACATGTACATGTAAACTGATAAATGGAATGAGATGCAACTCCATCGTTCAAATGCTGCGAAGGTTTACAAGAATACATTGGTTTCATTTTCTTTACAATATTGACCTTTATCATATATGTTCTACGGATGGCGATAAGACTGTGAATCACCTATATACGGTGGCATAATATATACATTTCCTTTTCCTGACTGAGCAACGGTTCTTCTTTACTTGGCATTCCCATCATTATTATTATATTTATTTGTCTCTTGGGTTCCCAGTGGAACATAGGGCTTCAGCAGCACGTCGCCATTTCATCCTGTTCTCTGCAAACTTTTGAACCTGGCTCCAAGACAGCCCAGAAGCTCTCATTTCTTACTCACACGATCTCATCTACGTCACCCTCGCTCAGACGCCCAACCCATCGCTTCCCATCTGGGTTCCACTTGAGGTCCTGGCCCGGCGCGTGATGTCCCCAGTCGGCCTTCTCAGTGTATGCCCAGTCCATCTCCACTTCCTTCTGCATATTTGTTGAGTGATAGGTTTTTGGTTGGTTCGTTCCAAGAGTTCCTTGTTGCTTATTCTTTCTGGCCATCTGAGCATTCCCATCAAGAATCATAAATTGTAGGGAATAATTGTTGCCCAATAATAATTTAATGAGCTCTTGTGTTTCCTCCTTTGAAGTACCATTTATGCATATATTTTGAATTCAATTGAACAGACACTTAACTAATGTTGTACTACTTCAATGTCATTCTTCTACCTATTTCGCACGCTACTGTGATGCATGGCAACCGAGACTAATGTACTTCTGTCCCATGTCTCACCCAAGTTTGTATCTCTATGTTTTTGTTTCCGCCTCCTGGGAATAACCACTACAGACAACAATAATCTTCGGAAACTGGTCGACCGTGAATTTTAACAGTAATATCGAAGGCTGTCTGAGACTCACACCAATCAGTTAGACTTCGGAAGTCAGCACTTCAAAAGACCTTTGCAGTATTTAGTGAGACACTTTTTGGAGCTGAAACAGGTTTGAGGTTAAAGCTTAAATTGATACTGAGGTAAGTAGCCACTGCATAATGCCGATATTTATTTATCGTAATATAAATAATTTAAAGCACAGCAAAAGTATCAAAGGCATTGAACTTTCGAATACCGAATGGCTCCAAAAAATCTTATTCCAGTTTGTGAAAGATCCCACATCTGCAATATATTCTTTTAAAAATAACACATCATTTGAGCAAAAGGTTTATTGAAGAGTCAGTTACGTCCAGTCACTTAACTAATAGATGCAGTGTAATATACAGCTATGCGACTAGTGTTATATTTCATACTCAGTGGACAAAATCGGATCACTGAGGGTCTATCATGGGGGAAAGACAATTCAGCGTTCGCCTCGGATAAGTCGTTGGTTACTTAATAAATCGCACTACCACCCATGATTAGCTGTACAGTATAAGTTAGAAGATAATTACTCATGTTATGCTGAGTTTGATCATATGCACGTTAAAAACTATTATAATTAATAAAACCAGTCGAGATAAAATTGATTAGATAGCCTTCTTGAGCATCGCCATTATTCCATCTCGCGAGTAAATGCACTTTTTCCACACTATATCGTATTCACTTTTGGCCTAACAATCAAACTACATACAATCAGTGCAACAACTAACAAGCCACTGCTTCAAATCAGGATTAGACATGATGTTGGTTATCACTTTATGACATTGAACTGACTACCACAAACGCATGAACCGAAGACAGACACGGAAAGAAAACATAAACATAGGACCAGGCACTATTGAGTTTTGGTATGAGTTGCCATACGTCGTCAGTACATTACGCGAGAAAGCACTAAAATGAAAGATCGAGATAAAGAAGACAGTTAAAAGTGGTATCAAGCAATGAAAACAGAGGGAGAAGGAAGGGGAAAATACGCAATTCAGTGTGCCGACTATGATGAAGATAATATGTGGAAACATCCACGCCAATGAGATGGATTCTGAGCCAAGTCACTTTGTCTGGGGATATAAACGAACTGAAGTAATTCGCTTATATCTTCAAATAAAGTTTAACTACATTAAACATGAATTCGATATGGAAAGACAGCATGTGATGCCCAGTCAAAGATTACTACGATAAATCCAAAGCTCTAGAAGACACCCTCACATAAAGTAGAAATAATGTCCATTAGAAAACTAAGTGACTCACAATAGGAAAACTTTAAATCACTGGCAAACACTACCAACATATGACCTGACATTTCTGCATAACTGTTTAAGCTACCACAACCCACATCAGTACATCAAGATAAAAATCCAATTGAACATCAAATACTTGCCTGTGAATAATAAAGTAAGTAAATTGTTGATTAAAAATCTTTAACCTGGTTAAAATATCTCACCACCTTATTCCAATCATCATTACTATTTCCTCGCTTGAAATTTCCACTAAGCTACGAAATATATGGTTACCAGAAACCGTTTAAAACAGCCAAGACTCACTGAAAGTAAATATGAAACTAATATTGACACCTCAAACAAAAAATCCCTGATTCATATTCCAGCTGCTGCGGATGGATCAGAAGTAACATCCACCTCTTGTGCAAATAATCAGAAACAGAAGCTGGTAGTCAAACTCCAATCATGTAGACATTTTAATATGATTAATCATATCTATTCGGTAAAACTACTTACACAAGAACCATGGAGTAGGAGAAATTGAACAGCATCGAACAGTTTATTTGAAAATGCAAACTGGGCAACAGGTTGTTTTTGATCGACAGGACCAATAAGAGCATTTATATCGGCGCCTAAGTCAATCAGTTTTTCAGCGAGTTTAAAATGCATAGCTTGTAAAGCCATAAACAGAGGAGATAGTCCATTTTCATTGAGCTGATTTACAAGCAACCTTGCCTGAGAAAAAAAGAAGTCAATATTAATGATCATATTATGTAACTGGCAACTATAAGAGGGGATATTTATCAATGTAATAATGAAGCAATTCAGTTAATCAAGTTCCACGTACTACTGTGAGCCACACTCAATGAGTGGGCTGATGGAAGTAGCTGGCTATTCAAGTCACGATATCGAAAAAGAATGTGAACCAATCCAGTAGATTTCGCACTATCCTATGGGCCACAGTGAGTGTATAAGGGCTCACAACAATGACCAGTGGCACGGGCCCTATTAAGTGAAGCTGTAATATAACCAATTTCATACAAGTCGAGTCTCTAAGCTACTAAGCCACATTCCCACATTGAGAGGAAAGAGTCAGAAATACGATATTCTGCTTTTGTAAACAAACTAAATAAGATACGAACATCTATACTGAGGCAATAGTACATGAATGTAATACATTCACTTTAAGTTACAAACCTCATCAAGTCTTCCCATAAGCTTGTTTCTTACTTATCATGGTGATGCATCCCATGTTCTGCCAACAGATAATCTTATGTGTACATTCAGCAAATAGATAACCTTGTCTCTGTACAGAATTGTGGATAAATAATAATCAGAAATAGTAGAAGCTGGTAGTCAATCTCCAACATTTTAATATGATTGTTCATATCTATTCGGTAAAACTACTTACACAAGAACCAAGGAGCAGAAAAAATTGAACGGCGACATAGTTTATTTTCAAATGCAAAACTGGACAACGCGTAAATTTTGATGGACACGCATACTATTTTCTGCAGACAGATAATCTGATGTGTAAGGTCATAAAACAGGTAACACTGTGTGTTTAGAAGTTTGAATAAACAATAGGCATGTGTATCGAACGTTAAGTGAAAATCAGGTGTATAAGTGAGGGAAAAATGCGGAGAAAAAAAGATAATGGTAAGAGTGCCAGTAGTCGTAAAAAACCAAAGGCTAGAGGAAAAATGAAAACAATGAAGGACTATGGAATACAATGGTGTGAACTATTCACATTAAGGCGGACGATATTTGCACCTACACCATACATATATTAAACCACACCAAGTGACTTGACCTGCATAGGTAATTCACCGCTAGATGGATGTTTGACAGTGCAAACTACGATAATATTACAGTTCCTCACTTTGGCTTACCTATATCATTCGTCGAGTGCAAACTCTACATCGGGAGTAGAGACCAACAAAAATAGTTGCCACACACACACATGAGACTTTAATCTTTTAAACTAACGTAAAAATTACCTTGACAGGATTTCCTTCAAGCAAAGACATTACGGTGTCATCCCTCCCAAGTTCAATAGCAGAATGTACGGGGAACTTGGAGTATCTTTCAAGAAAAGACTGGAGGACAGGTGCATTAATCGTGGAAATCTCTTCCGATGAGAGGTTTTGCTATCAAATATAGGTTGTAATGATACAACAGCATACCCAAACACCTGACAGAAACAGAAAACAGTGATCCAAAAGCTTAGATGCCTTCACATCATATGAGGATGAATAAAGTGACAGACAGTTCTCTCTTGTGACTAGAGGAATCAGAGCAATTTCACACCTACAATTTTACAATAGAAAATAATACTTACTGTGAAAATAAAGACGGTAAGCAATATTCTTTTGCAAGTACCATCAATTTGGACAAGCATTCTGCTTCATATTTCTCAAGAACACCTTTATAAGCCCACAAAATCAAAGCTTCACATACGCTCTGACAATATCCTTGAAACGTTACTGCAAACTAAATGTCTGCTACCTCGCATGTCAATATATTCCACACCATTCTCTGTATAAATATCCCAAACCCCACCCCTGGCATCTAAGACAAATTTGTGCCCCGGAACCAGTACATCAGGTGTTTTGAACAGCACATCACTTTTTATTCTTACAAAGACGTATAAGTGAACTTACCTATACTTCGTATTTAGGAATAAGCTTTCTACAAATGCTAAAATGTTGCCACAGAAATTCGGCTCCCTATAGCCTAGCTCTGCGGCAAGCAAATGATTCTCTTTTTCTAATTTCTCGATTTTAGTTTGAAGCTTTCGGTACTCCAGCTTTATGCTAGAAACATAATCCGAAACCATTTTCAAGACATCATGACCTTGAAGTTCAAAACTGTGATATCATCAACACCAACATCAACAGTGCGTGCATAGAAAACTGATAGTTCTGATCTCTCGCGTCTAGTTCTTGGTACTTGGTTCTAGTTTTTTGGCTCAGTCCTGCAGTGGACAGGAAAATTTCTTCTACTTCCTTGTTTTTAGCCCAGGTAAGGTGAATCTCTTTGTTAGTTAGTGCTTGAAACTTGTAGATTCAGTTGTTTTGATAGCTACATGTTTCAATAACCAAAATCTGTTTAACAAGCTTATGTAAGCCGTTCGATTTCTTCATGTTCGCCTCTAGGTCTTTTGCAACGGTTACAAGTCTTTGGCGGATTCAAATGCAGTAGATCCAGCAAGTCATCTGGTTTATCTCTGGTATACACAACAGGTGGTTGGGTGTTGGTTAGCTTGCACGAGACTGCGGTTCAGCTAGGTTTCAAATATCGAGTTGCCAGACAGCCGTTCAGGCTGGTTGTAGGAGAATTAGAAATAGTAAAGAGAACCTAGGTAGACAAAGAAAAGTGAAATGAAGGAGTAATCTACACATATCCAAGTAAGAAGACAGGGGTGCAAAGACACGCAGAGTGACGTTAAATCGCAGCGATCAGGAGGGGTGGAAATGACGTGAATGATCAAAGCAGGAAATGAACTGGTGTAGAGTTGGTAGTATCGGAATGGTGAAACAGTAGTTGATTTCTTCAATCTAGTTCACATCCCAACTAGATGAGGGTGAGCCATGGTTCACTGCTTAACTACATAGCCTTCCTTTGAAATTGTCGATAGTTGTAGCGAAGATTACCCCTGCTGGTAATGCGTTCAAGTACCCCCAGACTGGAAGAGAAAAGTTTGAGCGCGCACGAATTATTGACTTTTGGTGGCCGTTTCCCCTTGGGTTTCCCCGAGTATCGCCACGATTGCAAACTGCCAGTATTGTTCTTTTCAGATGACTTGACTTATTCGGTTCCCTTTAGGCCATATTCATGTCCTTAGCAGGTTTGCAACGGAAGATTGATCCAAAAATCCCTCCCGGTCACCCTTATCTGATTGCATTGACATTTATTTTAATATTTTTACCCTCGATGTGGATAGCATGCCTTTGACCCTAGACGATGTACTATTATTTGGTTATTTGTCTTATTTGGATTCGCACTCGGTATTTGCCTTCGTATGTTTGAGACTTGTCATAAATGTTTCACTTTCCTATCATGTGACGCTGGACTGTTGACAAGGCGATGTTGTTTTACTTCACCCGACATTTTGTTTTGGCTCAACTTACGGCTGTGCTGTGACTTGACTGTTTATCTTTTGACTGTCCACTGGTAGCGTTTGGTTGTCGATTTGATTCTGGTAGGCAGAGTTTTGATCCCTTTTGTCGGGAATATTCCTGTTGACCGACAGGTACTTAACGGTTGTATTTGCTTAACCAGTTTCTACCGTGTAGTACGTATTTGCACCCGAGAACGTTTTGGACTGTATAGTTACCCAACGGTACTGTTGAGGTATTTTTGTAATTTTGACATAACTTATTGTTGCTTTGATAGTACCACAGATCTTGTTACGAATCTACTACTGAATTACTACAAGCCGTGTTTTGAAATTTTGATCAAACCTTTGACTGTGCGTCACTCTTGGAAGTTCGGAAGCTATACAGTAGAACGCAGGAACTAGTCAGATTCACGTCAGTTGGCACCACCTAGTTATTTCCCACGTTCAGGCCAAGATTATTGGTCCTGACAGCTACAACCTACTCTCACGGCTTTTGACGCATCCCTACAACACCTTTCGTCGTTCGTCTCTAGACTTTCTCCAGGATATTCGCGTCTCTTTACACATTTGGTGGAGTGAAGACGTTATTCGCCTCCACTTTAGAACAGTATGTGAGTCTTGTAGGGTTTCGGAGCGGGCTCCAGGGTTATCGCACATACCTATCCGCGCACATAGTGTGACAAACCGCATATATTTGAGGCATCTTCTGGTAGTTGGAACTGATATCCAGCTTCTACATCACCAATAAACCCGTCTTTCAATGCCGCAGTAGAAGAAAGATTTGAACCATAGAGACAGTAAGACACCTTCTGTAGATTGTAATGGCGGAAAACTGTGGATCAGCATTATCTAAACCACATGCCAATTAGAGTGTTTCAGGGTCATTCTGCGACGCATTCGATTCACTTTCACACGTTATTGCTCTCTATGACATGGCGTCCGCGACTCAAAAGAGAACCGGGGAGCTGAGTTGCAGCGGGACATTCGTGAACGGCAAAAACAACAGCGGACACAGAATCCTTCCTTGCAATACGCAGGACAATGATATTCTCCAGGTTGGACTGACCCTGCTGACTTTCGCGAAAAACTCTCCAAGGTCTAAGTAGTTCCGCAGCCCCAACAGAACCTGGTCGTGGACACGTAACCCTGCATTTTTATGCATGAGACTGTCAGAGGCTTTGACGAAACCAAGAAAAGCCGTGCGGACAGGGAACTTGAGGTTCAAGCATTCTGTCGGATAGTCGTCGGCTGTCAGGAGGCTGGAGTCGCAGAACCTAAACTTTCGAAAGCAACGCTCAGAGTCACTGAATGCCTGTTTTGTGTTCAGGTATCTTCTGATGCTACCGTCCATCACGCTTTCTGTAACCTTTGGCATTACAGGTAAAAGTGCTGAGAGTCGACGACAGTTCAGGCTGTGTCTGTCCCCTTCTCTGAAAAAAGGCGAGGAGATGGAGCGTTTCCACCCCTACGAGAGCCCTTGTTTATCTACGGAGCGTTGAAAAAAGCCGCAGACTGGGCCAATCAGGGTACCAGCACGTGGTTGCAGCACGGGTGCACGAATGTCGGAGGTGCTTCACGTTTCGGCGACTCCCTGTCCAGAAGGGCCTACTTCCTTCGGACTCTTAATGACGCATGCCACTTGGCCCGTAGATTTTCTCTACGCCAAGAACCCGTCTTGGTCTCAGATGTTTTTTCCTCCAGCTTCTCAGCGAGGCTGGGCCGGAACAACCCCCTGCTCCTCACCCCCCCCCCACTTTTTTGTTCCTTGTACTTCGTAGAGCTGCATGCGTATCGCGATCTGGTTCTTCTCTGGACAGCCTTCGTTTACGCCAAGCTCTGCTCCTGGCTTTCAGAAGGCGCTCAGTGCCTTGTTTTAGCCATGAGGTCTGCTTTCTGAGTGTTGTTACCACCAAGCGGAGGCCTTAAGAAATCGCAACTTTAGTTATACTTCGTACTTCTTCCATGGGCTGGCCAACCGATAAGTAGTATCAGTCTTTTGCCTGTGGAGCTATCAATGGACATAGATTCATTCTTTTGTAGTTCACTTCGCCTTGAAAGGGACAGGGGTAAAATCTCTTCCACGATGACTGTTCTCTGATTACCAGGTCCAGCACCACTACAGGGCGATCACTGCTCCCTGGAAGAGCTTGAACTTGAACGTTTCTAACTCATAGGTGATCTCCACTCAGTAGATAATCCAGTTTATGAAGTTTGCCACCTGATCCCAAGAGGGTATCGTTGCCAATCTCTTCGTCCAGTACAGCTAGTTGGATGGCATTTAGCAGGTCATGGTCAAACTTCCAGCTAGAGGTAGTGCCTCTCTGCACTGAGGCAAGAGTTGGGGCGTTGAAGTCACCAGCTATTTGGATCTGATCATACCCAGCAGTCAACACTGTGGACATTACTCCGAGTAGTTTCCGGTTGCGTTCCACGTCGTTTTCAGGGCACCAGCGTACTTCTGCAACCACACACTTATTGTATCTGACCATGAAGCGACACTAGATTGAGTCTAGAAGCTCTATCAATACAGCGCCAGTAACTTGTCTACTTTTTAAATAGTTGTTCACGTATATCGCGACTCCCTTCCACCCTTGTTTTCCACGTCTTTCCTGAACAAGAACGTGTCATCTATGTTCACCCCGTTGTCGCTAGTGTCTGATAATAACTGTGTTTCCACCGGGGTTATTTTTTCGGAACAAGGTGATAACAAAGGGCTCAGAGCTCTAACATTTTACTTCGTAGTTCCCCATGTGACGCCTGAGAGTGCTTGTCACAACGTGAGATGCCCCTAGGTTAACTAGATGCTCCGGTTCGAATGTGATGGAGGTTTCTACTGGCACGTATTTCGTAGAGTTCCATATCCATCAAGATACGGCTCTTCTCCGGAGGGCCTCCGTTCGTAACGAGCCCTCCTCTTTGCTTTGATAGGGTGCTCAATAATCAACTTCTTACCTCCTAGCAGATGACGACTCCCACTCAGGGAACGAAAAATATCTTGAGGTTAGCCTAATGATACGCCTAAAGTTTATGCTGTTGTTTAGCCTTACTGACAACGAACCCTATAGAATCCTACAATTTCTTTCTTGGGCTCAGGGGGGACTATGTTTGAACCAACTGACAGTAACATGCAGAAGATAACTTCTTCCGTAACTACAGGAGAGCTCACCTGTTGTGTAACCTTACTAGAAGAAAACAGTGACATCTTGGAACGAATTCTAAGAAAGGCTGCAAAAGTGCGTTTCATATGCGGCACAAAATCCACCCAGGTTGCCAAGATACTCTCAGGCTACGATCGGCGTAATGGGCAGAAGTCGTAAATGATGTGGCGGCGGTTTACAGTATCCTTAAACTCTTCTTTATTCACACGAATACTGCTTAGGTTGCCGTCGGAAATTCCACCTGACCGATCACGAGTGGCAAGAGAGACGTCCCGAGAAGCAGCTGATTCACAAAGACCCACAACTATGGTCATCCATAGAATACCTGAATGGAAAACCAGTACTTCAGGTGATAAGTGCAAACGTGGTATCCAGCAATGTGATTACTCGTCGGCACACATGGGACTAGGTGGGGTTGCAGCGATTGTATTCGCGTACGAAGAATGTGGCAGCCATGGTCTCACCTTGACCTAATGGTGGCCAACTTCAAATTCCCAGAAGTTCCAACTAGAGCGCTAGAGACGTAGTATAAAGCCAAGAGCACCACTAGCGGGAATT